TGCTGGGGGGGGCTTTATGGGGGTCTTATGGGGTCTTGTGGGGTGCTGAGGGGTCTTATGGTGTCTTGGGGGGTCTTATGGGGTCTTATGGGGTGCTGGGGGGTCTTGTGGGGTGCTGGGGGGTCTTATGGGGTCTTATGGGGTGCTGGGGGGTCTTGGGTGGGTCTTGTGGGGTCGTATGGGGTGCTGGGGGGTCTTATGGGGTCTTATGGGGTCTTATGGGGTGCTGGGGGGTCTTGGGGGGTCTTGGGGGGTCTTATGGGGTCTTATGGGGTCTTATGGGGTGCTGAGGGGTCTTGGGGGGTCTTGGTGGGTCTTGTGGGGTCTTATGGGGTGCTGGGGGGTCTTGGGGAGTCTTGGGGGGTCTTATGGGGTCTTATGGGGTGCTGGGGGGTCTTGGGGGGTCTTGAGGGGTCTTATGGGGTCTTATGGGGTGCTGGGGGGTCTTGGGGGGTCTTGGTGGGTCTTGTGGGGTCTTATGGGGTGCTGAGGGGTCTTATGGGGTCTTGGGGGGTCTTATGGGGTGCTGGGGGGTCTTGTGGGGTGCTGGGAAGGCTTATGGGTCTTATGGGTGCTGGGGGATCTTGGGGGGTCTTATGGGGTCTTATGGGGTCTTATGGGGTGCTGGGGGATCTTGGGGGGTCTTATGGGGTCTTATGGGGTGCTGGGGGGTCTTGGGGGGGGTCTATGGGGTGCTGAGGGGTCTTATGGGGTCTTGGGGGGTCTTATTGGGTGCTGGGGGGTCTTATGGGGTCTTGTGGGGTGCTGGGGGGTCTTGGGGGGGTCTTATGGGGTCTTATGGGGTGCTGATTGGGTCTTATGGGGTCTTATGGGGTGCTGGGGGGTCTTGGGTGGGTCCTGTGGGGTTCTGGGGGGGCATTTGGTTGACCCCATAGAACAAAATTGGGGTCCCATTGCATTAGGCTGACCCCAAAACCCCTTTATGGGCTCCCACCCCATAACCTGACCCCCAAAGCCCCTTTTATGGGCTCCCACCCCATAAGCTGACCCCAAAGCCCCTTTATGGGCTCCCACCCCATAACCTGACCCCAATGTCTCTCTATGGGCTCCCACCCCATAACCTGACCCCAAAGCCCCTTTATGGGCTCCCCACCCCATTAGCTGACCCCAAAGCCCCTTTATGGGCTCCCACCCCATAACCTGACCCCAATGTCTCTCTATGGGCTCCCACCCCATAAGCTGACCCAATGCCCCTTTATGGGCTCCCACCCATAACCTGACCCCAAAGCCCCTTTATGGGCTCCCACCCCCATAACCTGACCCCAAAGCCTCTCTATGGGCTCCCACCCCATAACCAGACCCCAATGTCTCTCTATGGGCTCCCACCCCATAACCTGATCCCAATGTCTCTCTATGGGCTCCCACCCCATAACCTGACCCCAATGTCTCTCTATGGGCTCCACCCCATAACCTGGGCCCCAATGATTCTTTATGGGCTCCCACCCCATAACCTGACCCCAAAGCCCCTTTATGGGCTCCCACCCCATAAGCTGACCCCAATGTTTCATCCTGACCCCAAAGCCCCTTTATGGGCTCCCACCCCATAACCAGACCCCAATGTCTCTCTATGGGCTCCCACCCCATAACCTGACCCCAATGTCCTCTCTATGGGCTCCCACCCCATAAGCTGACCCAAAAACCCCTTTATGGGCTCCCACCCCATAACCTGACCCCAAAGCCTCCCTATGGGCTCCCCACCCCATAAGCTGACCCCAATGATTCATCCTGACCCCAAAGCCCCTTTATGGGCTCCCACCCCATAACCTGACCCCAATGTCTCTCTATGGGCTCCCACCCCATAACCTGACCCCAATGTTTCATCCTGACCCCCAAAGCCCTTTATGGGGCTCCCACCCCATAACCTGACCCCAATGTTTCATCCTGACCCCAAAGCCCCTTTATGGGCTCCCACCCCATAACCTGACCCCAAAGCCCCTTTATGGGCTCCCACCCCATAACCTGACCCCAAAGCCCCTTTATGGGCTCCCACCCCATAACCTGACCCCAATGTCTCTCTATGGGCTCCCACCCCATAACCTGACCCCAATGTTTCATCCTGACCCCAAAGCCCCTTTATGGGCTCCCACCCCATAACCTGACCCCAATGTTTCATCCTGACCCCAAAGCCCCTTTATGGGCTCCCACCCCATAACCTGACCCCAAAGCCCCTCTATGGGCCTCCCACCCCATAAGCTGACCCCAAAGCCCCTTTATGGGCTCCCCACCCATAACCTGACCCCAATGTCTCTCTATGGGCTCCCACCCCATAACCTGACCCCAATGTTTCATCCTGACCCCAAAGCCCCTTTATGGGCTCCCACCCCATAACCTGACCCCAATGTTTCATCCTGACCCCAAGCCCCTTTATGGGCTCCCACCCCATAACCTGACCCCAAAGCCCCTCTATGGGCTCCCACCCCATAAGCTGACCCCAAAGCCCCTTTATGGGCTCCCACCCCATAACCTGACCCCAAAGCCCCTCTTATGGGCTCCCACCCCATAACCTGACCCCAATGTCTCTCTATGGGCTCCCACCCCATAACCTGACCCCAAAGCCCCTTTATGGGCTCCCACCCCATAACCTGACCCCAAAGCCCCTTTATGGGCTCCCACCCCATAACCTGACCCCAATGTCTCTCTATGGGCTCCCACCCCATAACCAGACCCCAAAGCCCCTTTATGGGCTCCCACCCCATAACCTGACCCCAATGTCTCTCTATGGGCTCCCACCCCATAAGCTGACCCCAATGATTCATCCTGACCCCAAAGCCCTTTATGGGCTCCCACCCCATAACCTGGCCCCAAAGCCCCTTTAATGGGCTCCCACCCCATAACCAGACCCCAATGTCTCTCTATGGGCTCCCACCCCATAAGCTGACCCCAATGTTTCATCCTGACCCCAAAGCCCCTTTATGGGCTCCCACCCCATAACCTGACCCCAATGTCTCTCTATGGGCTCCCACCCCATAACCTGACCCCAAAGCCCCTTTATGGGCTCCCACCCCATAACCTGACCCCAATGTCTCTCTATGGGCTCCCACCCCATAACCTGACCCCAATGTCTCTCTATGGGCTCCCACCCCATAACCTGACCCCAAAGCCCCTCTATGGGCTCCCACCCCATAACCTGACCCCAATGTCTCTCTATGGGCTCCCACCCCATAAGCTGACCCCAATGTCTCTCTATGGGCTCCCACCCCATAACCTGACCCCAATGTCTCTCTATGGGCTCCCACCCCATAACCAGACCCCAATGTCTCTCTATGGGCTCCCACCCCATAACCTGACCCCAATGTCTCTCTATGGGCTCCCACCCCATAACCTGGCCCCAATGATTCTTTATGGGCTCCCACCCCATAACCTGACCCCAAAGCCTCCCTATGGGCTCCCACCCCATAAGCTGACCCCAAAGCCCCTTTATGGGCTCCCACCCCATAACCTGACCCCAATGTCTCTCTATGGGCTCCCACCCCATATCCTGACCCCAAAGCCCCTCTATGGGCTCCCACCCCATAACCTGACCCCAATGTTTCATCCTGACCCCAAAGCCCCTCTATGGGCTCCCACCCCATAACCTGACCCCAAAGCCCCCTTTATGGGCTCCCACCCCATAAGCTGACCCCAAAAACCCCTTTATGGGCTCCCACCCCATAACCTGACCCCAATGTCTCTCTATGGGCTCCCACCCCATAACCTGACCCCAAAGCCTCTCTATGGGCTCCCACCCCATAACCTGACCCCAATGTCTCTCTATGGGCTCCCACCCCATAGGCTGCCCCTATAACCCCCCCCATAACCCCCCTGACCCCACAAACTCCCCCCCCCCCCCCCCCCCTTAAGACCCGCAGGCTGAAATCGACGGGGGGGGCGCTGTGGGTCAGAGCCCCCATAGAAACCACGTCGATGTGGGGCCCCGCGCAGTGGGGCAGCGCCGCCGCCGTGATGCCGCCGCTCGCCTCCACCACAACCCGCGGCCAACGGCTCTTCAGCGCCGCCGCCGCCGCCTGCAGCTCCTGCCCGGAACAAAGCGCTTATGGGGCTGCCCCATAGCATGGGGGGGTTGTGGGGCTGCCCCATAGCGGGGGGGGGGAGGGGGTTGTGGGGCTGCCCCATAGCATGGGGGGGGGAGGGGGGGGTTGTGGGGCTGCCCCATAGAGGGAGACGGGGGGGTTGTGGGGCTGCCCCATAGCATGGGGGGGCAGGAGGGGGGGGGTTGTGGGGCTGCCCCATAGCATGGGGGGGGGAGGAGGGGGTTGTGGGGCTGCCCCATAGCGGGGGGGGGGGGGGGGGTTGTGGGGCTTGCCCCATAGCATGGGGGGGGGAGGAGGGGGTTGTGGGCTGCCCCATAGCATGGGGGGGGGGAGGGGGTTGTGGGGCTGCCCCATAGCATGGGGGGGGAGGAGGGGGTTGTGGGGCTGCCCCATAGCGGGGGGGGGGGGGGGGGGGTTGTGGGGCTGCCCCATAGCTGGAGGGGGGGGGGGTCGATCCATAGGGGAGGGGGTTGTGGGGCTGCCCCATAGCGGGGGGGGGGTTGTGGGGCTGCCCCATAGCGGGGGGGGGGGTTGTGGGGCGGCCCATAGCGGGAGGGTGTCGAACCATAGGGAGGGGGTGTGGGGGCTGCCCCATAGAGGGAGACGGGGGGGTTGTGGGGCTGCCCCATAGCGGGGGGGGGGGGTTGTGGGGCTGCCCCATAGCGGGGGGGGGGGGGGTCGATCCATAGGGACCAGGGTGGGGTTGTGGGGGCTGCCCCATAGGGAGATGGGGGTGGGGTCAATCATGGGGGGGGGGTTGTGGGGCTGCCCCCATAGCGCGGGGGGGGGGGGGGGCATTGGTCGAACCATAGGGGGGGGGGGGAGTTGTGGGGCTGCCCCCATAGCGACTGGGGGGGTTGTGGGTTGGAGGTCCTGCCGCCGAAACGCCACACTTATGGGGCTGCCCCATAGGGATGGGGGGAGGGGTTGTGGGGCTGCCCCATAGCGGGAGGGGGGGGGTCGATCCATAGGGGAGGGGGTTGTGGGGCTGCCCCATAGCGGGAGGGGGGGGGTCGATCCATAGGGAGATGGGGGGGGGTTGTGGGCTGCCCCATAGCGGGGGGGGGGGTGTCGATCCATAGGGGGGGGGGTTGTGGGGCTGCCCCATAGCGCGGGGGGGGGGGGGGGCATTGGGTCGAACCATAGGGGGGGGGGGAGTTGTGGGGCTGCCCCATAGCGACTGGGGGGTTGTGGGTTGGAGGTCCTGCCGAAACGCCACACTTATGGGGCTGCCCCATAGGGATGGGGGGAGGGGCTTGTGGGGCTGCCCCCATAGCGGGGGGGGGGGGGGTCGATCCATAGGGGAGGGGGTTGTGGGGCTGCCCCATAGCGGGAGGGGGGGGGGTCGATCCATAGGGGAGGGGGTTGTGGGGCTGGCCCCATAGCGGGAGAGGGGGGGGGTCGATCCATAGGGAGATGGGGGGGGTGTTGTGGGGCTGCCCCATAGCGGGGGGGGGGGGGGGTCGATCCATAGGGAGATGGGGGGGGGGTTGTGGGGCTGCCCATAGCGGGGGGGGGGGGTGTCGATCCATAGGGAGATGGGGGGGGGTTGTGGGGCTGCCCCATAGCGGGAGGGGGGGGGGTCGATCCATAGGGAGATGGGGGGGGGGTTGTGGGGCTGCCCCATAGGCGGGGGGGGGGGGGTGTCGATCCATAGGGGGGGGGGTTGTGGGGCTGCCCCATAGCGCGGGGGGGGGGGGGGCATTGGGTCGAACCATAGGGGGGGGGGGAGTTGTGGGGCTGCCCCATAGCGACTGGGGGGGTTGTGGGTTGGAGGTCCTGCCGAAACGCCACACTTATGGGGCTGCCCCATAGGGATGGGGGGAGGGGTTGTGGGGCTGCCCCATAGCGGGGGGGGGGGGGGTCGATCATAGGGGAGGGGGTTGTGGGGCTGCCCCCATAGCGGGAGGGGGGGGGTCGATCCATAGGGAGATGGGGGGGGGTTATGGGGCCAGTTATAGGGTCAACTATAGGGTCAGTTATAGGGTCAGTTATGGGGCCGTTGCAGGGCCGTTGTAGGGCCATTGTAGGGTCATTTATAGGGTCACTTATAGGGTCAGTTATGGGGCCGTTTTGGGGTGGTTATGGGGCCGTTGCAGGGCTGTTATAGGATCAGTTATAGGGTCACTTATAGGGTCAGTTATAGGATCAGTTATAGGGCCGTTGTAGGGCCGTTGTAGGGTCATTTATAGGGCCGTTATGGGGTGGTTATGGGGCCATTATAGGGTCAGTTATAGGGTCAGTTATAGGGCCGTTTTGGGGCGGTTATGGGGCCGTTGTAGGGCTGTTGTAGGGTCAGTTATAGGGTCACTTATAGGGTCAGTTATAGGGTCAGTTATAGGGCTGTTGTAGGGTCATTTATAGGGCCGTTATAGGGTCAGTTATAGGGTCAGTTATAGGGCCGTTTTGGGGCAGTTATGGGGCCGTTGTAGGGTCAGTTATAGGGTCACTTATAGGGCCGTTATAGGGTCACTTATAGGGCTGTTGTAGGATCATTTATAGGGCCGTTATGGGGCCGTTGTAGGGCCGTTATAGGGTCAGTATAGGGTCATTTATAGGGTCAGTTATAGGGCCGTTGTGGGGCCATTTATAGGATCAGTTATAGGGTCAGTTATAGGGTCACTTATAGGGTCAGTTATAGGGTCATTTATAGGGTCATTATAGGGTCAGTTATAGGGCCGTTATGGGGCCGTTTTGGGGCCGTTATAGGGTCAGTTATAGGGTCACTTATAGGGTCATTTATAGGGCCGTTATAGGGTCAGTTATAGGGTCATTTATAGGGCAGTTATAGGGTCACTTATAGGGCCATTTATAGGGCCGTTATAGGGTCATTTATAGGATCAGTTATAGGGCCGTTATAGGGTCAGTTATAGGGTCATTTATAGGGCCGTTGTAGGGTCATTTATAGGGCAGCTATAGGGTCAGTTGTAGGGTCAGTTATAGGGCCGTTATAGGGTCATTTATAGGGCCATTTATAGGGTCACTTATAGGGTCATTTATAGGGCAGTTATAGGGTCAGTTATAGGGTCATTTATAGGGCCGTTATAGGGTCAGTTATAGGGTCAGTTGTAGGGTCATTTATAGGGTCACTTATAGGGTCAGTTATAGGGTCATTTATAGGTCCGTTATAGGGTCAGTTATAGGGTCAGTTGTAGGGTCACTTATAGGTTCAGTTATAGGGCCGTTATATGGTCGGTTATAGGGTCAGTTATAGGGTCATTTATAGGGTCAGTTATAGGGTCATTTATAGGGCAGTTATAGGGTCAGTTATAGGGTCATTTATAGGGCCGTTATAGGGCCGTTATAGGGTCAGTTATAGGGTCATTTATACGGTCATTATAGGGTCAGTTATAGGGCCGTTATGGGGCCGTTTTGGGGCCGTTATAGGGTCAGTTATAGGGTCACTTATAGGGCCATTTATAGGGCCATTTATAGGGTCACTTATAGGGTCATTTATAGGGCCGTTATAGGGTCAGTTATAGGGTCAGTTATAGGGTCATTTATAGGGCAGTTATAGGGTCAGTTATAGGGTCACTTATAGGGCCATTTATAGGGCCGTTATAGGGTCATTTATAGGATCAGTTATAGGGCCGTTATAGGGTCATTTATAGGGTCACTTATAGGGCAGTTATAGGGTCACTTATAGGGCCATTTATAGGGCCGTTATAGGGTCATTTATAGGATCAGTTATAGGGCCGTTATAGGGTCAGTTATAGGGTCATTTATAGGGCCGTTTAGGGTCATTTATAGGGCAGCTATAGGGTCAGTTGTAGGGTCAGTTATAGGGCCGTTATAGGGTCATTTATAGGGCCATTTATAGGGTCACTTATAGGGTCATTTATAGGGCAGTTATAGGGTCAGTTATAGGGTCATTTATAGGGTCATTTATAGGGCAGTTATAGGGTCAGTTATAGGGTCACTTATAGGGCCATTTATAGGGCCGTTATAGGGTCATTTATAGGGTCATTTATAGGGCCGTTATAGGGTCATTTATAGGGTCACTTATAGGGCAGTTATAGGGTCACTTATAGGGCCATTTATAGGGCCGTTATAGGGTCATTTATAGGGTCAGTTATAGGGTCATTTATAGGGCAGTTATAGGGTCAGTTATAGGGTCACTTATAGGGCCATTTATAGGGCCGTTATAGGGTCATTTATAGGATCAGTTATAGGGCCGTTATAGGGTCAGTTATAGGGTCACTTATAGGGCAGTTATAGGGTCACTTATAGGGCCATTTATAGGGCCGTTATAGGGTCATTTATAGGATCAGTTATAGGGCCGTTATAGGGTCAGTTATAGGGTCATTTATAGGGCCGTTGTAGGGTCATTTATAGGGCAGCTATAGGGTCAGTTGTAGGGTCAGTTATAGGGCCGTTATAGGGTCATTTATAGGGCCATTTATAGGGTCACTTATAGGGTCATTTATAGGGCAGTTATAGGGTCAGTTATAGGGTCATTTATAGGGCCGTTATAGGGTCAGTTATAGGGTCAGTTGTAGGGTCATTTATAGGGTCACTTATAGGGTCAGTTATAGGGTCATTTATAGGTCCGTTATAGGGTCAGTTATAGGGTCAGTTGTAGGGTCACTTATAGGTTCAGTTATAGGGCCGTTATATGGTCGGTTATAGGGTCAGTTATAGGGTCATTTATAGGGTCAGTTATAGGGTCATTTATAGGGCAGTTATAGGGTCAGTTATAGGGTCATTTATAGGGCCGTTATAGGTCAGTTATAGGGTCAGTTATAGGGTCATTTATACGGTCATTATAGGGTCAGTTATAGGGCCGTTATGGGGCCGTTTTGGGGCCGTTATAGGGTCAGTTATAGGGTCACTTATAGGGCCATTTATAGGGCCATTTATAGGGTCACTTATAGGGTCATTTATAGGGCCGTTATAGGGTCAGTTATAGGGTCAGTTATAGGGTCATTTATAGGGCAGTTATAGGGTCAGTTATAGGGTCACTTATAGGGCCATTTATAGGGCCGTTATAGGGTCATTTATAGGATCAGTTATAGGGCCGTTATAGGGTCATTTATAGGGTCACTTATAGGGCAGTTATAGGGTCACTTATAGGGCCATTTATAGGGCCGTTATAGGGTCATTTATAGGGTCAGTTATAGGGCAGTTATAGGGTCACTTATAGGGCCATTTATAGGGCCATTTATAGGGTCACTTATAGGGTCATTTATAGGGCCGTTATAGGGTCAGTTATAGGGCCATTTATAGGGTCACTTATAGGGCCATTTATAGGGTCATTTATAGGGTCACTTATAGGGCCATTTATAGGGCCGTTATAGGGTCAGTTATAGGGTCACTTATAGGGTCAGTTATAGGGCCGTTATAGGGTCATTTATAGGGCAGCTATAGGGTCAGTTGTAGGGTCACTTATAGGGCCGTTATAGGGTCAGTTATAGGGTCATTTATAGGGCCGTTGTAGGGTCATTTATAGGGTCAGTTATAGGGCCGTTATAGGGTCACTTATAGGGTCAGTTATAGGGCCGTTGTAGGGCCGTTGTAGGGTCATTTATAGGGCCGTTATAGGGCCATTTATAGGGTCACTTATAGGGCCATTTATAGGGCCGTTATAGGGCCATTTATAGGGTCACTTATAGGGCCATTTATAGGGCCGTTATAGGGCCATTTATAGGGTCACTTATAGGGCCATTTATAGGGCCGTTATAGGGTCAGTTATAGGGTCACTTATAGGGCCATTTATAGGGTCATTTATAGGGTCACTTATAGGGCAGTTATAGGGTCACTTATAGGGCCATTTATAGGGCCGTTATAGGGTCATTTATAGGATCAGTTATAGGGCCGTTATAGGGTCAGTTATAGGGCCATTTATAGGGCCATTTATAGGGCCATTTATAGGGTCACTTATAGGGCCATTTATAGGGCCATTTGTAGGGCCATTTATAGGGTCATTATAGGGTCATTATAGGGCCATTTATAGGGCCATTTGTAGGGTCATTTATAGGGTACCCGCGGCCGCATGTTGTCCAGCAGCACGATGTCGGCTCCGCTCTGCGCCGCTTCCAGCGCCTCCCCTGCGCTCCCGCACTCCACCTCCACGCGGCGGCTGAAACCCGCGGCGCGACGGGCGGCTGAGACCAGCTGGGGGTCAGGGGTCAGGGGTCAAAGGTCGTGGGGTCAGGGGTTGTGGGGTCGGGGGTCAGGGGTTATGAGGTTATGGGGTCAGGTGGGGTTATGGGGTCGGGGGTCAGGGGTTATGGGGTCAGGGGGGTTATGGGGTAGGGGGAGTTATGGGGTCGGGAGTCAGATGGGGTTATGGGGTCAGGGGGTCAGGGGTTATGGGGTCCGATGGGGTTATGGGGTCAGGTGGGGTTATGGGGTTGGGGGTCGGATGGGGTTATGGGGTCAGATGGGGTTATGGGGTCGGGGGTCAGGGGGTCAGGGGTTATGGGGTCAGATGGGGTTATGGGGTCGGGGGTCAGGGGTCAGGGGTTGTGGGGTCGGATGGGGTTATGGGGTCAGATGGGGTTATGGGGTCGGGGGTCAGGAGTTATGGGGTTATGGGGTCAGGTGGGGTTATGGGGTCGGATGGGGTTATGGGGTCGGGGGTCAGGGGTCAAAGGTCGTGGGGTCAGGGGTTGTGGGGTCGGGTGGGGTTGGATGGGGTTATGGGGTTATGGGGTCGGATGGGGTTATGGGGTTATGGGATCAGGTGGGGTTATGGGGTCAGATGGGGTTATGGGGTCGGGGGTCAGGGGTCAAAGGTCGTGGGGTCAGGGGTTGTGGGGTCGGGTGGGGTTATGGGGTCAGATGGGGTTATGGGGTCAGGGGTTATGGGGTCAGATGGGGTTATGGGGTCAGGGGTTATGGGGTCAGATGGGGTTATGGGGTCGGGAGTCGGATGGGGTTATGGGGTCAGGGGTTATGGGGTCAGGGGTCAGGGGTTGTGGGGTCGGGTGGGGTTATGGGGTCAGGTGGGGTTGGATGGGGTTATGGGGTCAGGGGGGTTATGGGGTCGGGGGTTGGATGGGGCTATGGGGTCAGGGGTTGTGGGGTCAGGGGTTATGGGGTCAGGTGGGGTTATGGGGTCAGGTGGGGTTATGGGGTTGGGGGTCAGGGGTCAAAGGTCGTGGGGTCAGGGGTTGTGGGGTCGGGTGGGGTTATGGGGTCAGATGGGGTTATGAGGTCAGGGGTTATGGGGTCGGATGGGGTTATGGGGTCAGGGGTCAGGGGTCAAAGGTCGTGGGGTCAGGGGTTGTGGGGTCGGGTGGGGTTATGGGGGCAGGGGTCAGGGGTTATGGGGTTATGGGGTTATGGGGTCAGGTGGGGTTATGGGGTCAGGGGTTGTGGGATGGGGTTATGGGGTCGGGGGTCAGGGGTCGGGTGGGGTTATGGGGTCGGATGGGGTTATGGGGTCAGGGGGGTTGTGGGGTTATGGGGTCAGGTGGGGTTATGGGGTTGGGGGTCAGGAGTTATGGGGTTATGGGGTCGGATGGGGTTATGGGGTCAGGGGTCAGGGGTCAAAGGTCGTGGGGTCAGGGGTTATGGGGTCAGGTGGGGTTATGGGGTCGGGGGGGTTGTGGGGTTATGCCGTCAGATGGCGTTATGGGGTCAGATGGGGTTATGGGGTGGGGGGTTGGATGGGGCTATGGGGTCAGGGGTTGTGGGGTCAGGGGTTATGGGGTCGGATGGGGTTATGGGGTCGGGGGTTGGATGGGGTTATGGGGTCAGGGGGTCAGGGGTTATGGGGTTATGGGGTCGGATGGGGTTATGGGGTCGGGGGTCGGATGGGGTTATGGGGTCAGGGGGTCAGGGGTTATGGGGTTATGGGGTCAGGTGGGGTTATGGGGTTGGGGGCTCAGATGGGGTTATGGGGTCGGATGGGGTTATGGGGTCAGGGGGGTTGTGGGGTTATGGGGTCAGGTGGGGTTATGGGGTTGGGGATCAGGAGTTATGGGGTTATGGGGTCGGATGGGGTTATGGGGTCAGGGGTCAGGGGTCAAAGGTCGTGGGGTCAGGGGTTATGGGGTCAGGTGGGGTTATGGGGTCGGGGGGGTTGTGGGGTTATGCCGTCAGATGGCGTTATGGGGTCAGATGGGGTTATGGGGTGGGGGGTTGGATGGGGCTATGGGGTCAGGGGTTGTGGGGTCAGGGGTTGTGGGGTCAGGGGTTATGGGGTCGGATGGGGTTATGGGGTCGGGGGTTGGATGGGGTTATGGGGTCAGGGGGTCAGGGGTTATGGGGTTATGGGGTCAGGTGGGGTTATGGGGTCAGGGGTCGGATGGGGTTATGGGGTCAGGGGGTCAGGGGTTATGGGGTTATGGGGTCAGGTGGGGTTATGGGGTTGGGGCTCGGATGGGGTTATGGGGTCGGGGGTCAGGGGTTATGGGGTCGGGTGGGGTTATGGGGTTGGGGGTTGGATGGGGTTATGGGGTTATGGGGTCAGGTGGGGTTATGGGGTCAGGGGTTGGATGGGGTTATGGGGTCGGGGGTCAGGGGTCGGGTGGGGTTATGGGGTCGGATGGGGTTATGGGGTCAGGGGGGTTGTGGGGTTATGGGGTCAGGTGGGGTTATGGGGTTGGGGGTCAGGAGTTATGGGGTTATGGGGTCGGATGGGGTTATGGGGTCAGGGGTCAGGGGTCAAAGGTCGTGGGGTCAGGGGTTATGGGGTCAGGTGGGGTTATGGGGTCGGGGGGGTTGTGGGGTTATGCCGTCAGATGGCGTTATGGGGTCAGATGGGGTTATGGGGTGGGGGGTTGGATGGGGCTATGGGGTCAGGGGTTGTGGGGTCAGGGGTTGTGGGGTCAGGGGTTATGGGGTCGGATGGGGTTATGGGGTCGGGGGTTGGATGGGGTTATGGGGTCAGGTGGTCAGGGGTTATGGGGTTATGGGGTCAGGTGGGGTTATGGGGTCAGGGGTCGGATGGGGTTATGGGGTCAGGGGGTCAGGGGTTATGGGGTTATGGGGTCAGGTGGGGTTATGGGGTTGGGGGCTCAGATGGGGTTATGGGGTCGGGGGTTATGGGGTCAAATGGGGTTGTGGGGTCAGGGGGGCCCTGTGGGGTCAGTTGTAATCTATGGGGTCTGTGGGATCGGGGGGGGCTGTATTTGCCCCCCCTCCAGCCATATTTGCCCTCCTCCCCCGGAAGTGCCCCCTCCTCCCCCGGAAGTGCCCCCCTCCCCCACCGGAAGTGCCCCCTCCCCACCGGAAGTGCCCCCTCCCCCACCGGAAGTGCCCCCTCCCCCACCGGAAACGCCCCCTTCCCTCCTCCATAATTGCCCCTCTGCCTCTGTAATCACCCCACCCACCCCCATAATTGCCCCTCCTCCCCCGGAAGTGCCCCCTCCTCTACCGGAAGTGCCCCCTCCCCCACCGGAAACGAACCCTTCCCCTCCCCATAATTGCCCCTCCTCCCCCGGAAGTGCCCCCTCCACCACCGGAAACGCCCCCTTCCCCTCCCCATAATTGCCCCTCCTCCCCCCGGAAGTGCCCCCTCCTCTACCGGAAGTGCCCCCTCCCCCACCGGAAACGAACCCTTCCCTCCCCCATAATGGCCCCTCACCCCCTGTAATTGCCTCACCCACCCCCATATTTGCCCCCCTCCCACCATAATTGCCCCTCCTCCCCCCGGAAGTGCCCCCTCCTCTACCGGAAGTGCCCCCTCCCCCACCGGAAACGCCCCCTTCCCTTCCCCATAATGGCCCCTCACCCCCTGTAATTGCCTCACCCACCCCCATATTTGCCCCCCTCCCACCATAATTGCCCCTCCTACCCCGGAAGTGCCCCCTCCCCCACCGGAAGTGCCCCCTCCCTCACCGGAAACGCCCCCTCACCCCCCCATAATTGCCCCTCACCCCACGTGATCACCCCACCCACCCCCATACTTGCCCCCCTCCCGCCATAATTGCCCCTCCTGCCCCCGGAAGTGCCCCCTCCCCCACCGGAAGTGCCCCCTCCCCCACCGGAAACGCCCCCTTCCCTTCCCCATAATGGCCCCTCACCCTCTGTAATTGCCTCACCCACCCCCATATTTGCCCCCCTCCCGCCATAATTGCCCCTCCTCCCCCGGAAGTGCCCCCTCCCCCACCGGAAGTGCCCCCTCCCCCACCGGAAACGAACCCTTCCCACCCCCATAATTGCCCCTCCTCCCCCCGGAAGTGCCCCCCTCCCCCACCGGAAGTGCCCCCTGCCCCCCCCCCCCCTACCGGAAGCTCCACACTTACCTCCCTCATCGGGACCCCCGCCGCATCCCTATGGGTGTCCTTCACCATCAGCATCCCCCCGAGGTCGTAACGATGGGGGTCGGCCCCTCCCACCCACAGCCCGTATTTCTCCACCAATCGGAAGCCGGGCGTGGTCTTCCTGGTCCCGCCCACCGCCCCGCCCCATCCCAGCCCCCTCGCCACCTCCACCGCCTTCCTGGCCGCCGTCGCCGTCCCGCTGCACCTCCCCAGCACCTCCAGCACCACCCGCTCCCCTTGTAGGATCCGAGCCGCCGAACCCCGTATTTCCGCCACCACCGTCCCGGAAGTCACGTGACTTCCTTCCGGAACTTTCCATCTCGATCGACAACCCAATTCCTCCCAAACGGCGTCGGCGAAAGGGAGGCCGGCCAGAAGGCCCGAGGATTTGCAGACGATGATGGCGAGGCGTGGGCTCAGGCCAACCAGCAGGGCGGCGGGGTCGAGGCCCGGGCAATCCTCCTGCAGCCAATGGCGGGCCAGGGTGCGAAGGTGGGGAGGGGGCAGCAGGGAGGACAGAGAGGGAGGGGGGGGGGGTCGTCGTGGGGGGGCTGGGGGCCATGGGGGGGATCGTCATGGCGCCAGGGTGGGTGGTGGTGGGGTTGGTGGTGATGGTGGGATCCATCATGGCGGTGGGATCCATCATGGCGGTGGGGTTGGCCATGGTGGGGTTGGCCTTCGTGGGTCTCATCATGGCGGTTGGGTTGGACACGGTGGGCTTGGTGGTGTTGGGATCCATCATGGCGGTGGGGTTGGCCATGGTGGGGCTCAATATGGCGGTGGGGCCCATCATGGCGGAGTTGGTTGTGGTGGGGTTGGTGGTGATGGTGGGATCCATCATGGCGGTGGGGTTCAACATGGCGGAGTTGGTCATGGTGGGGTTGGTGGTGATGGTGGGATCCATCATGGTGGCATTGGTGGTGGTGGGGTTGGTGGTGGGGGGATCCATCATGGCGGTGGTGTTGGCCATGGTGGGGTTGGTGGTGTGGGGATCCATCATGGCGGTGGGATCCATCATGGCGGTGGAGTTGGTTGTGGTGGGGCTCAATATGGCGGTGGGGCTCATCATGGCGGTGGTGTTCATCATGGTGGTGGGATCCATCATGGCGGTGGTGTTGGCCATGGTGGGGTTGGTGGTGGGGGGATCCATCATGGCGGTGGGGTTGGTTGTGGTGGGGCTCAATATGGCGGTGGGGCTCATCATGGCGGTGGCGTTCAACATGGCGGGGTTCATCATGGCGGTGGTGTTGGACACGGTGGGGTTGGTGGTCATGGTGGGATCCATCATGGCGGTGGGGTTGGCCATGGTGGGGTTGGCCTTCGTGGGTCTCATCATGGCGGTGGGGTTGGACACGGTGGGGTTGGTGGTGTTGGGATCCATCATGGCGGTGGGGTTGGTTGTGGTGGGGCTCAATATGGCGGTGGGGTTCATCATGGTGGTGGGGTTGGCCATGGTGGGGCTCAATGTGGCGGTGGGGCTCAATATGGCGGTGGGGCCCATCATGGCGGAGTTGGTTGTGGTGGGGTTGGTGGTGATGGTGGGATCCATCATGGCGGCATTGGTCGTGGTGGGGTTGGTGGTGGGGGGATTCATCATGGTGGTGGGATCCATCATGGCGGTGGGGTTGGTTGTGGTGGGGTTGGTGGTGATGGTGGGATCCATCATGGCGGTGGGGTTCATCATGGTGGAGTTGGTCATGGTGGGGTTGGTGGTGATGGTGGGATCCATCATGGCGGCATTGGTCGTGGTGGGGTTGGTGGTGGTGGGATCCATCATGGCGGTGGGGTTGGACACGGTGGGGTTGGTGGTCATGGTGGGATCCATCATGGCGGTGGGGTTGGTTGTGGTGGGGCTCAATATGGCGGTGGGGTTCATCATGGTGGGGTTGGTCATGGTGGGGTTGGTGGTGTTGGGATCCATCATGGCGGTGGGGTTGGTTGTGGTGGGGCTCAATATGGCGGTGGGGCTCATCATGGCGGTGGTGTTCATCATGGTGGTGGGATCCATCATGGCGGTGGTGTTGGCCATGGTGGGGTTGGTGGTGGGGGGATCCATCATGGCGGTGGGGTTGGTTGTGGTGGGGCTCAATATGGCGGTGGGGCTCATCATGGCGGTGGCGTTCAACATGGCGGGGTTCATCATGGCGGTGGTGTTGGCCATGGTGGGGTTGGTGGTCATGGTGGGATCCATCATGGCGGTGGGGTTGGTTGTGGTGGGGTTGGCGGTGGGGTCTCATCATGGCGGTGGGGTTGGCCATGGTGGGGTTGGTTGTGGCGGTGGGATCCATCATGGCGGTGGGGTTGGCCATGGTGGGGCTCAATATGGCGGTGGCGTTCAACATGGCGGGGTTCATCATGGCGGTGGGGTTGGCCATGGTGGGGTTGGTGGTCATGGTGGGATCCATCATGGCGGTGGGGTTGGTTGTGGTGGGGCTCAATATGGCGGTGGGGTTCATCATGGTGGTGGGGTTGGCCATGGTGGGGTTGGTTGTGGCGGTGGGATCCATCATGGCGGTGGAGTTCATCATGGCGGAGTTGGTTGTGGTGGGGTTGGTGGTGATGGTGGGATCCATCATGGCGGCATTGGTCGTGGTGGGGTTGGTGGTGGTGGGATCCATCATGGCGGTGGGGTTGGACACGGTGGGGTTGGTGGTGTGGGGATCCATCATGGCGGTGGGGTTGGCCATGGTGGGGCTCAATATGGCGGTGGGGCTCATCATGGCGGAGTTGGTTGTGGTGGGGTTGGCGGTGATGGTGGGATCCATCATGGCGGCATTGGTGGTGGTGGGGTTGGTGGTGGGGGGATCCATCATGGCGGCGGGGTTCAACATGGCGGCGTTCAACATGGAAGGGTTCAACATGGCGGCGGGGTTCAACATGGCGGTGTTCAACATGGCGGCGCTCATCATGGAAGGGTTCAACATGGCAGCAGGGTTCAACATGGCGGCGCTCATCATGGCGGCGCTCATCATGGCGGTGTTCAACATGGCGGCAGGGTTGGTGATGGAGGCGCTGGAGGCGGCCATGTTGACGCTGGCCTGGGTGGCGTGGGCCTCAGTGGTGGCGTCGGCCATGTTGGTGGTGGCGGCTACGTTGGTGGCAGCCATGTTGGTGGTGGTGGCCATGTTGGTGTCAGCCATGTTGGTGTCAGCCATGTTGGTGGTGGTGGCCATGTTGGTGTCAGCCATGTTGGTGTCAGCCATGTTGGTGGTGGTGGCCATGTTGGTGTCTGCCGTGTTGGTGTCAGCCATGTTGGTGGTGGTGGCCATGTTGGTGTCTGCCGTGTTGGTGTCAGCCATGTTGGTGGTGGTGGCCATGTTGGTGTCAGCCATGTTGGTGTCAGCCATGTTGGTGGTGCTGGCCATGTTGGTGTCAGCCATGTTGGTGTCAGCCATGTTGGTGGTGGTGGCCATGTTGGTGTCAGCCATGTTGGTGTCAGCCATGTTGGTGGTGGTGGCCATGTTGGTGTCAGCCATGTTGGTGTCAGCCATGTTGGTGGTGGTGGCCATGTTGGTGTCTGCCGTGTTGGTGTCAGCCATGTTGGTGGTGGTGGCCATGTTGGTGTCTGCCATGTTGGTGGTGGCAGCTCTGTTGGTGGCAGCCATGTTGGTGGTGGCTACATTGGAGTCAGCCATGTTGGTGGTGTCAGTCTTGGTGGTGGCAGCTATGTTGGTGTCAGCCATGTTGGTGGTGGCAGCCATGTTGGTGGCAGCCATGTTGGTGGTGGTGGCTACATTGGAGTCAGCCATGTTGGTGGTGTCAGTCTTGGTGGTGTCAGCCACGTTGGTGGCGGCCATGTTGGTGGTGTGTGTCTTGCTGACATTGGCCATGTTGGTGAGGTCAGCCATGTTGGTGGTGTCGGTCTCGGCAATGTCAGCCATGTTGGTGTGGTTGGCCATGTTGGTGGCAGCCATGTTGGTGGTGGCCATGTTGGTGTCTGCCATGTTGGTGGTGGTGGCGACATTGGAGTCAGCCATGTTGGTGGTGTCAGTCTTGGTGGTGGCGGCCATGTTGGTGGCAGCCATGTTGGTGGTGTCGGTCTTGCTGACATCGGCCATGTTGGTGATGTCAGTCTTGGTGACGTCAGCCATGTTGGTGAGGTCGGCCATGTTGGTGTGGTTGGCCATGTTGGTGTCAGCCATGTTGGTGGCGTCAGTCTTGTCAGTGTTGGTGTCGGCCATGTTGGTGGTGTCGGACTTGGTGACGTCAGCCATGTTGGTGAGGTCAGCCATGTTGGTGGTGGCCGTGCTGGCAGTGTCAGCCATGTTGGTGACATCAGCCATGTTGGTGTCAGTCTTGGTGACGTCAGCCATGTTGGTGAGGTCGGCCATGTTAGTGGTGCTGCTCATGGTGAAATCATTGGTGATGGTGGTGCTGTTGGTTTCGGCCCCATAGATCTGGGGGTCCTGCCCCATAGATCTGAAGATCCTGGCCCCAATCATAGCCCACAAACCTGGAGGTCCCACCCCATAGATCTATGGGACCCGGCCCCACATCTGCCCCACATCAGCCCCATCTCAGCCCCACATCTGCCCCGCATCTGCCCCTCATATGCCCCACATCGACCCCAAAGCTGCCCCATCTCAGCCCCACATCTGCCCCGCATCTGCCCCTCATACGCCCCACATCGGCCCCATAGCTGCTCCATATCAGCCTCACATCTGCCCCATATCAGCCCCACATTTGCCCCATAGCTGCCCCACATCTGCCCCACATCAGCCCCATAGCTGTCCTATAGCTGCCACATCAGACCACACCTGCCCCACATCAGCTCCATCTCAGCCCCACATCTGCCCCACATCTGCCCCTCATAAGCCCCACATTGGCCCCATAGCTGCCCCACATCAGCCCCATAGCTGTCCTATAGCTGCCACATCAACCCCACATCTGCTCCATCTCAGCCCCATCTCAGCCCCACATCAGCCTCACATCTGCCCCTCATACGCCCCACATCTGCTCCGTATCAGCCCCACATCTGCCCCATAGCTGCCCCACATCAGCCCCATAGCTGTCCTATAGCTGCCCCACATCAGACCCACATCAGACCCCACATCAGCCCCATCTCAGCCCCACATCTGCCCCTCATAAGCCCCACATCGACCCCATAGCTGCCCTATATCAGCCCCACACCTGCCCCATAGCTGCCCCACATCAGCCCCACATCAGCCTCACATCAACCCCCCCTCTGCCCCACATCAGCCTCACGGCCCCACCCCCCCCTTCAGCCCCACCCCCCCCAGCAGCGGGGGTCCAAAGTCCGCCCCAAAACCTCCACGTCCCCAACCTCCCCCGAGACCCCACTGCTATGGGGCAGAGCCCTCTGCTATGGGGCTGAACACACAGCTATGGGGCAGAACTCGCCTCTTTAGGGCAGAACCCACCGCTATGGGGCAGAGCCCTCTGCTATGGGGCTGAGTTCACTGCTATGGGGTAAAACCTACTTCTATGGGGCTGAACCCACAGCTATGGGGCTGAGCCCTCCCTTATGGGTGTGAACCCACCGTTATGGGGCAGGACTCACCTCTATGGGGCAGAACTCACTGCTATGGGGCAGAGCCTAGCGCTATGGGGCAGAACTCACTACCATGGGGTAGATCCTAGTGCTATGGGGCAGAACTCACAGCTATGGGGCAGAACCCACTGCAGTGGGGCAGGACTCACCTGTTTAGGGCAGAACCCGGCGCTATGGGGCAGAGCTGTGGGTCCCGCTGACCTTCAGGGCAGCTGAGCGAGCCATAGGGCGATGGGGGGGGGGGCACCGGGGGGGGCTTGGCCCCATAACTCCGCCCACAGGGGGGTGGGAACCCAGAAATGTGGGGCGGGGTGTGTGGGGCCGAGCCCTGGGGGCTGCAGCCCCATAAGTGTGGGGCACAGCCGGGTGTGGGGCAGCCCTATAAGTGTGGGGCAGCCCTTAAATGTGGGGCAGCCCCATAAGTGTGATGCAGCCCCATAAGTGTGGGGCAGGCACCAAGTGTGGGGCAGCCCCATAAGTGTGGGACACCTTACAAATGTGGGGCACCTCATATGTGTGGGGCAGCCCCATAAGTGTGGGACACCCTGCAAGTGTGGGGCAGACCCCAAATGTGGGGCAGCCCCATAAGCGTGGGGCAGCCCATAATTGTGATGCAGCCCCGTAAGTGTGAGGCACCCCGTGAGTGTGAAACAGACCCCAAATGTGGGTCAGACCCCATATGTGTGGGGCAGCCCCATAAGTGTGGGGCAGCCCCCCCAATAAGACAGCACCCAAGGGGGTTTTTGGGGTTCCCTTTATTGGCAATAAATAAGCAGCGGCCATTTGGGGCCGCCCCATAGCGGGTTGTAGGGCCGCCCCATAGCATCGTAGGGCCGCCCCATAGCAGGTTGTGGGGCCGCCCCATAGAGTTGTAGGGCCGCCCCATAGCGGGTTGTGGGGCTGTGGGGTCACTTCCGCTTCTTCCGGAGCTCCTCAGCATCACCTGTGGGGTGGCAATGGGGTGGATTTGGGGTCAGTTATGGGGTCACAAGGGGGTGTGGGGTCACAAGGGGGTGTGGGGTCACAGTGGGGTGTGGGGTGACAGGGGGGCGGTTATGGGGTCACAGTGGGGCACAGTTATGGGGTCACAGTGGGGTGTGGGTCACAATGGGGTGCGGTTATGGGGTGACATTGGGACGTGGGGTGGGTGTGGGGTCAGCGGGGCGGTTATGGGGTTACGAGGGGATATGGGGTCACAGTGGGGTGACGCTTATGGTTATGGGGTGACACTTATGGGGTGAGAGAGCTGGGGTTGTGGGGCGACAGTTATGGGGTGAAGGTGATGGGGGGCGCTGCAGTTGCTATGGGGGGACACACGGGGGCGCTGTGGGGCTGCAGTCGCTATGGGGGGACACACGGGGGCGCTGTGGGGCTGCAGTCGCTATGGGCGGACACACGGGGGCGCTGTGGGGCTGCAGTTGCTATGGGGGGACACACGGGGGCGCTGTGGGGCTGCAGTTCCTATGGGGGGACACACGGGGGCGCTGTGGGGCTGCAGTCGCTATGGGGGGACACACGGGGGCGCTGTGGGGCTGCAGTCGCTATGGGGGGACACACGGGGGCGCTGTGGGGCTGCAGTCGCTATGGGGAGACACAGAGACACACGGGGGCGCTGTGGGGCTGCAGTTCCTATGGGCGGACACACGGGGGCGCTGTGGGGCTGCAGTTCCTATGGGCGGACACACGGGGGCGCTGTGGGGCTGCAGTTCCTATGGGGGGACACACGGGGGCTGCAGTTGCTATGGGCGGACACACGGGGGCGCTGCGGGGCTGCAGTTCCTATGGGCGGACACACGGGGGCGCTGTGGGGCTGCAGTCGCTATGGGGGGACACACGAGGGCTGCAGTTGCTATGGGGGGACACACGGGGGCGCTGTGGGGCTGCAGTCGCTATGGGGGGACACACGGGGGCTGCAGTCGCTATGGGGGGACACACGGGGGCGCTGCGGGGCTGCAGTTCCTATGGGCGGACACACGGGGGCTGCAGTTGCTATGGGCGGACACACGGGGGCGCTGTGGGGCTGCAGTTCCTATGGGGGGACACACGGGGGCGCTGTGGGGCTGCAGTTGCTATGGGCGGACACACGGGGGCGCTGTGGGGCTGCAGTTCCTATGGGGGGACACACGGGGGCGCTGTGGGGCTGCAGTTCCTATGGGCGGACACACGGGGGCGCTGTGGGGCTGCAGTCGCTATGGGGAGACACAGAGACACACGGGGGCGCTGTGGGGCTGCAGTTCCTATGGGGGGACACACGGGGGCGCTGTGGGGCTGCAGTTCCTATGGGCGGACACACGGGGGCGCTGTGGGGCTGCAGTTCCTATGGGGGGACACACGGGGGCGCTGTGGGATCAGCGTTACCTCAGGAGTCGCCCAATGGAGGAAGGCGGAAGTTACGCTGTGAGGGGGGACAGCAGGAGGGCATTATGGGATGGATGGCGCTGCGGTGCATTATGGGACGGCGCGGGGGGGATGGGGAATTATGGGATGAGGGGTCAGGATGGGATGGCGGGGGGGGGATGGGGCATTATGGGATGGCGAGGGAGGATGATGGGATGGGACAGGATGGGCATTATGGGATGGCGCGAGAGTATTATGGGATGGCGCATTGGGGCATTATGGGATGGGGCGTGGGTTATTATGGGATGGCGCAGGGTTATGATGGGATGGCGCTGGATTATGGGGCATTATGGGATGGCGCGGGAGCATTATGGGATGGGACAGGATGGGCATTATGGGATGGCGCAGGAGTATTATGGGATGGGACAGGAGTATTATGGGATGGTGCAGGAGTATTATGGGATGGCGCATTGGGGCATTATGGGATGGGGCGTGTATTATTATGGGATGGCGCTGGATTATGGGGCATTATGGGATGGCGTGGGAGCATTATGGGATGGGACAGGATGGGCATTATGGGATGGGACGTGGGTTATTATGGGATGGCACAGGATGATGGGGGATTATTATGGGATGGGACACGACGGGCTGTTATGGATGGCATGGGGACATCATGGGACAATGGAAGGGATGGAGGGGACGACGGAGGGATACAGAGTCAATGGGGGGGATATGGGGTCAATGGGGGGTCAATGGAGGGGTCAATGGGGTGAATGGGGTCAATGGGGGTCAATGGAGGGGTCAGTAGGGTCAATGGGGGTCAATGGGGTCAATGGGGGTCAATGGGGTCAACGGGGTCAATGGGGGTCAATGGGGGTCAATGGGGGTCAAGGAAGGGGATATGGGGTCAATGGGGGTCAATGAAGGGGTCAGTAGGGTGAATGGGGGGTCAATGAAGGGGTCAATGGGGTCAATGGGGGTCAATGGAGGGGATATGGGGTCAATGGGGTCAATGAAGGGGTCAATAGGGTCAATGGGGGGTCAGTGAAGGGGTCAATGGGGTGAATGGGGTCAATGGGGGTCAATGAAGGGGTCAGTAGGGTGAATGGGGGGTCAATGAAGGGGTTAATAGGGTCAATGGGGGTCAATGGGGGTCAGTGGGGGTCAGTGAAGGGGTCAATGGGGTCAATGGGGGTCAGTGGGGGTCAATGGGGTCAGTGGGGGGTCAATGGGGGTCAATAGGGTGAATGGGGGTCAATGGGGGTCAATGGGGTCAATGGGGGTCAATGGGGGTCAATGGGGTGAATGGGGTCAATGGGGGTCAATGGGGTCAATGGGGGTCAGTGGGGGTCAGTGGGGGTCAATGGGGGTCAATGGGGGTCAATGGTGGTCAGTGGGGGTCAATGGGGTGAATGGGGTGAATGGGGGTCAATGGGGGTCAATGGGGGTCAATGGTGGTCAATGGTGGTCAATGGGGGTCAATACGGTGAATGGGGGTCAATGGGGGTCAATGGGGTCAGTGGGGGTCAATGGGGGTCAATGGGGTCAATGTGGGTCAATGGGGGTCAATGGGGGTCAATGGGGTCAGTGGGGGTGAATGGGGGTCAATGGGGTCAGTGGGGGTCAATGGGGTCAGTGGGGGTCAATGGGGTCAATGGGGGTCAATGTGGGTCAGTGGGGGTCAATGGGGGTCAATGGGGTCAATGGGGGGTCAATGGGGGTCAGTAGGGTGAATGGGGGGTCAATGAAGGGGATATGGGGTCAATGGGGGTCAATGAAGGGGTCAGTAGGGTGAATGGGGTCAATAGGGGTCAGTGGGGGTCAATGGGGTCAATGGGGGTCAATGGGGTCAGTGGGGGGTCAATGGGGGTCAATAGGGTGAATGGGGGTCAATGGGGGTCAATGGGGGTCAATGAGGGTCAATGGTGGTCAGTGGGGGTCAATGGGGGTCAATGGGGTCAATGTGGGTCAATGGGGGCCAATGGGGTCAGTGGGGGTCAATGGGGGTCAATGGGGTCAATGTGGGTCAATGGGGGTCAATGGGTTCAATGGGGGTCAGTGGGGGTCAATGGGGGTCAATGGGGTCAATGGGGGGTCAATGGGGGTCAGTAGGGTGAATGGGGGGTCAATGAAGGGGATATGGGGTCAATGGGGGTCAATGAAGGGGTCAGTAGGGTGAATGGGGTCAATAGGGGTCAGTGGGGGTCAATGGGGTCAATGGGGGTCAATGGGGTCAGTGGGGGTCAATGGGGGTCAATGGTGGTCAGTGGGGGTCAATGGGGGTCAATGGGGTCAATGTGGGTCAATGGGGGTCAATGGGGTGAATGGGGTGAATGGGGGTCAATGTGGGGTCAATGGGGTCAATGGGGGTCAATATGGGGTCATGGGGTCAATGAAGGGGTCAATGGGGTCAATGGGGGTCAATGGGGTCAGTGGGGGTCAATGGGGTCAATGGGGGTCAATGGGGGTCAATGGGGTCAATGGGGGGTCAATGGGGGTCAGTAGGGTGAATGGGGGGTCAATGAAGGGGATATGGGGTCAATGGGGGTCAATGAAGGGGTCAGTAGGGTGAATGGGGTCAATAGGGGTCAGTGGGGGTCAATGGGGTCAATGGGGGTCAATGGGGTCAGTGGGGGGTCAATGGGGGTCAATAGGGTGAATGGGGGTCAATGGGGGTCAATGGGGTCAATGAGGGTCAATGGTGGTCAGTGGGGGTCAATGGGGGTCAATGGGGTCAATGTGGGTCAATGGGGGCCAATGGGGTCAGTGGGGGTCAATGGGGGTCAATGGGGTCAATGTGGGTCAATGGGGGTCAATGGGTTCAATGGGGGTCAGTGGGGGTCAATGTGGGTCAATGGGGTCAATGGGGGTCAGTGGGGGTCAATGGGGGTCAATGGTGGTCAGTGGGGGTCAATGGGGGTCAATGGGGTCAATGTGGGTCAATGGGGGTCAATGGGGTGAATGGGGTGAATGGGGGTCAATGTGGGGTCAATGGGGTCAATGGGGGTCAATATGGGATCATGGGGTCAATGAAGGGGTCAATGGGGTCAATGGGGGTCAATGGGGTCAGTGGGGGGTCAATGGGGGTCAATAGGGTGAATGGGGGTCAATGGGGGTCAATGGGGGTCAGTGGGGGTCAATGGGGGTCAATGGGGGTCAATGGGGGTCAATGGGGTCAGTGGGGGGTCAATGGGGGTCAATAGGGTGAATGGGGGTCAATGGGGGTCAATGGGGGGTCAATGGGGGTCAATAGGGTGAATGGGGGTCAATGGGGGTCAATGGGGGTCAGTGGGGGTCAATGGGGGTCAATGGGGGTCAATGGGGGTCAATGGGGTCAATGGGGGTCAATGGGGTGAACGGAAGGGATGAGAGCATCCCCCGGTGACACGATGACGTCAGAGGCGATGACGTCAGAGGCGATGACGTCAGAGGCGATGACGTCACAGGCGATGACGTCATCGGGGGGGGGAGGGGCAGCACTGACCCTCCAGGTAATTCCGGGCGATGAACTTCAGCGCCTCGTCCAATAGGATGACAGGGAAGGAAATGCGGAGCACAACCAGCCAATGGGCCAAGTCCAGGTGGGTCAGCTTAAAGATCATCTGTGGGGCAGGGAGAGACCCCATAGCGACCCCATAGCGACCCCATAACAGCCCCATAACGGCCCCATAGCGACCCCATAACAGCCCCATAGTGACCCCATAGTGACCCCATAACAGCCCCATAGTGACCCCATAGCGACCCCATAACGGCCCCATAGCGACCCCATAACGGCCCCATAACGGCCCCATAGAGACCCCATAGCGACCCCATAACGGCCCCATAGCGACCCCATAGTGACCCCATAACAGCCCCATAGTGACCCCATAGCGACCCCATAACGGCCCCATAACGGCCCCATAGCGACCCCATAACAGCCCCATAGTGACCCCATAGTGACCCCATAACAGCCCCATAGTGACCCCATAGCGACCCCATAACGGCCCCATAGCGACCCCATAACGGCCCCATAACGGCCCCATAGAGACCCCATAGCGACCCCATAACGGCCCCATAGCGACCCCATAGTGACCCCATAACAGCCCCATAGTGACCCCATAGCGACCCCATAACGGCCCCATAACGGCCCCATAGCGACCCCATAGCGACCCCATAACGGCCCCATAACGGCCCCATAGCGACCCCATAACGGCCCCATAACGGCCCCATAGAGACCCCATAGCGACCCCATAACGGCCCCATAGCGACCCCATAGTGACCCCATAACAGCCCCATAGTGACCCCATAGCGACCCCATAACGGCCCCATAGCGACCCCATAGTGACCCCATAACAGCCCCATAGTGACCCCATAGCGACCCCATAACGGCCCCATAACGGCCCCATAGTGACCCCATAGCGACCCCATAACGGCCCCATAACGGCCCCATAGCGACCCCATAACAGCCCCATAGTGACCCCATAGCGACCCCATAACGGCCCCATAGCGACCCCATAACGACCCCATAACAGCCCCATAGTGACCCCATAGCGACCCCATAACGGCCCCATAACGGCCCCATAGCGACCCCATAACAGCCCCATAGTGACCCCATAGTGACCCCATAACAGCCCCATAGTGACCCCATAGCGACCCCATAACAGCCCCATAGCGACCCCATAGCGACCCCATAACAGCCCCATAGTGACCCCATAGCGACCCCATAACGACCCCATAGCGACCCCATAACGGCCCCAGAATGACCCTATAACGGCCCCATAACGGCCCCATAACGGCCCTGTAACAGCCCTAATCCCCCTCCTGACCCCACATCCCCCCCTCCTGACCCCATATCCACCCCATAGCCCCCCTCTTAACCCCATATCTCCCCTCCTGGCCCCATATCCCCCCTCCTGACCCCATATCCACCCCATATCCACCCCATATCTCCCCTCCTGGCCCCATATCCCCCCTCCTGACCCCATATCCACCCCATATCCACCCCATATCTCCCCTCCTGACCCCTTATCTCCCCTCCTGACCCCGTATCCCCCCTCCTGACCCCATATCCCCCCCTCCTGACCCCATATCCACCCCATATCCCCCCCCCTGACCCCGTATCCCCCCTCCTTACCCCATAGCCCCCCTCCTGACCCTGTATCTCCCCTCCTGACCCCATATCCACCCCATAGCCTCCCTCCTGACCCCATATCCACCCCATATCCACCCCATATCTCCCCTCCTGACCCCACATCCCCCCTTCCTGACCCCATATCCACCCCATATCCCCTCTCTTGACCCCATATCCCCCCTCCTGACCACATAGCCCCCCCTCTTGACCCCATATCCACCCCATATCCACCCCATATCTCCCCTCCTGTCCCCATATCCCCCCTCCTGACCCCACATCCCCCCCTCTTGATCCCATATCCACCCCATATCTCCCCTCCTGACCCCATATGCCCCCCTCTTGACCCCACATCCCCCCTCCTGACCCCGTATCCACCCCATATCCCCCCTCCTGACCCCACATCCCCCCTCTTGACCCCATATCCCCCCTCCTGACCCCATATCCACCCCATAGCCCCCCTCCTGACCCCATAGCCCCCCCTCCTGACCACATATCCACCCCATATCTCCCCTCCTGACCCCATAGCCCCCCCTCCTGACCCCATATCCACCCCATAGCCCCCCCCGACCCCATATCCCCCCTCCTGACCCCATAGCCCCCCCTCCTGACCCCATATCCATCCCATATCTCCCCTCCTGACCCCATAGCCCCCCCTCCTGACCCCATATCCACCCCATATCCCCCCTCCTGACCCCATATCTCCCCTCCTGACCCCACATCCCCCCCTCCTGACCCCATATCCACCCCATATCTCCCCTCCTGACCCCACATCCCCCCCTCCTGACCCCATATCCACCCCATATCCCCCCCCGACCCCATATCCCCCCTCCTGACCCCATATCGCCCCTCTTGACCCCGTATCTCCCCTCCTGACCCCACATCCCCCCCTCCTGACCCCATATCCACCCCATATCCCCCCTCTTGACCCCATATCCCCCCTCCTGACCACATAGCCCCCCCTCTTGACCCCATATCCACCCCATATCCACTCCATATCTCCCCTCCTGTCCCCATATCCCCCCTCCTGACCCCACATCCCCCCCTCCTGACCCCATATCCACCCCATATCTCCCCTCCTGACCCCATATGCCCCCCTCTTGACCCCACATCCCCCCTCCTGACCCCGTATCCACCCCATATCCCCCCTCCTGACCCCACATCCCCCCTCTTGACCCCATATCCCCCCTCCTGACCCCATATCCACCCCATATCTCCCCTCCTGACCCCATATCTCCCCTCCTGACCCCACATCCCCCCCTCCTGACCCCATAGCCCCCCCTCCTGACCACATATCCACCCCATATCTCCCCTCCTGACCCCATAGCCCCCCCTCCTGACCCCATATCCACCCCATAGCCCCCCCCGACCCCATATCCCCCCTCCTGACCCCATAGCCCCCCCTCCTGACCCCATATCCATCCCATATCTCCCCTCCTGACCCCATAGCCCCCCCTCCTGACCCCATATCCACCCCATATCCCCCCTCCTGACCCCATATCTCCCCTCCTGACCCCACATCCCCCCCTCCTGACCCCATATCCACCCCATATCTCCCCTCCTGACCCCACATCCCCCCCTCCTGACCCCATATCCACCCCATATCCCCCCCCGACCCCATATCCCCCCTCCTGACCCCATATCGCCCCTCTTGACCCCGTATCTCCCCTCCTGACCCCACATCCCCCCCTCCTGACCCCATATCCACCCCATATCCCCCCTCTTGACCCCATATCCCCCCTCCTGACCACATAGCCCCCCCTCTTGACCCCATATCCACCCCATATCCACTCCATATCTCCCCTCCTGTCCCCATATCCCCCCTCCTGACCCCACATCCCCCCCTCTTGATCCCATATCCACCCCATATCTCCCCTCCTGACCCCATATGCCCCCCTCTTGACCCCACATCCCCCCTCCTGACCCCATATCCACCCCATATCTCCCCTCCTGACCCCATATCTCCCCTCCTGACCCCACATCCCCCCCTCCTGACCCCATATCCACCCCATAGCCCCCCTCCTGACCCCATAGCCCCCCTCCTGACCCCATAGCCCCCCTCTTGACCCCATAGCCCCCCCTCTTGACCCCATATCCACCCCATATCTCCCCTCCTGACCCCATAGCCCCCCCTCCTGACCCCATATCCACCCCATATCCCCCCTCCTGACCCCATATCTCCCCTCCTGACCCCACATCCCCCCCTCCTGACCCCATATCCACCCCATATCTCCCCTCCTGACCCCACATCCCCCCCTCCTGACCCCATATCCACCCCATATCCCCCCCCGACCCCATATCCCCCCTCCTGACCCCATATCGCCCCTCTTGACCCCGTATCTCCCCTCCTGACCCCATAGCCCCCCTCCTGACCCTGTATCTCCCCTCCTGACCCCACATCCCCCCCTCCTGACCCCATATCCACCCCATATCCCCCCCATATCCCCCCACAGCCCCCCGCCCCGTACCGGCAGCGGATCCACGTAGAGGATGACGAAGTGCAGGGACATGGAGAGGCAGATGGAGCCCACCAGCCAGATGTTCACCCACGGCGGCATCCGCACCAGGGACTGGTTCTCAGACAGGCTGCGGGGGGAGCGGCGTCACCCCATAGGGCACCGTGACCCCATAGGGCCTCAAGGAACCCATAGGGCCCCATAGGGAACAACGTGACCCCATAGGGAACACCGTGACCCCATAGGGCCTCGACGACCCCATAGGGAACACCGTGACCCCATAGGGCCTCAATGAACCCATAGGGCCCCATAGGGAACACCGTGACCCCATAGGGCCTCGACGACCCCATAGGGCCCCATACTGAACACTGTGACCCCATGGGGCCTCGACGAACCCATAGGGCCCCATAGGGAACACCGTGACCCCATAGGGAACACCGTGACCCCATAGGGCCTCAAAGACCCCATAAGGCTCCATAGGGCACCGTGACCCCATAGGGCCTCAAAGACCCCGTAGGGCCCATAGGGAACAACGTGACCCCATAGGGAACACTGTGACCCCATAGGGACTCGAGGACCCCAATGACCCCATAGGGAACACCGTGACCCCATAGGGACTCGACGAACCCATAGGGAACACCGTGACCCCATAGGGCCTCAAGGAACCCATAGGGCCCCATAGGGAACAACGTGACCCCATAGGGAACACCGTGACCCCATAGGGAACACCGTGACCCCATAGGGCCTCGACGACCCCATAGGGAACACCGTGACCCCATAGGGCCTCGAGGAACCCATAGGGCCCCATAGGGAACAACGTGACCCCATAGGGAACACCGTGACCCCATAGGGCCTCAACGACCCCATAGGGAACACCGTGACCCCATAGGGCCTCAATGAACCCATAGGGCCCCATAGGGAACACCGTGACCCCATAGGGCCTCGACGACCCCATAGGGCCCCATACTGAACACTGTGACCCCATGGGGCCTTGACGAACCCATAGGGCCCCATAGGGAACACCGTGACCCCATAGGGAACACTGTGACCCCATAGGGCCTCAAAGACCCCATAAGGCCCCATAGGGCACCGTGACCCCATAGGGCCTCAAAGACCCCGTAGGACCCATAGGGAACAACGTGACCCCATAGGGAACACTGTGACCCCATAGGGACTCGAGGACCCCAATGACCCCATAGGGAACAACGTGACCCCATAGGGCCTCGAGGAACCCATAGGGCCCCATAGGGAACACTGTGACCCCATAGGACCTCAATGACCCCATAGGGAACACTGTGACCCCATAGGGCCTCGACGACCCCATAGGGCCCCATAGGGAACACCATGACCCCATAGGGCCTCGAGGAACCCATAGGGCCCCATAGGGAACACGGTGACCCCATAGGGCCTCAAAGACCCCATAGGGCCCCATAGGGAACACCGTGACCCCATAGGGAACACTGTGACCCCATAGGGCTTCAACGACCCCATAGGGAACACCGTGACCCCATAGGGCCTCGAGGAACCCATAGGGCCCCAGAGGGAACACCGTGACCCCATAGGGCCTCAACAACCCCATAGGGCCCCATAGTGAACACCGTGGATCTCTATGGGATCTCTATGGGGTCTCTATGGGGTCTCTATGGGGTCTCTATGGGATCTCTATGGGGTCTCTATGGGATCTCTATGGGGTCTCTATGGGGTCTCTATGGGGTCTCTATGGGATCTCTATGGGGTCTCTATGGGATCTCTATGGGTCTCTATGGGGTCTCTATGGGATCTCTATGGGATCTCTATGGGGTCTCTATGGGGTCTCTATGGGGTCTCTATGGGGTCTCTATGGGGCTGGTGCTTCTATGGGTCTCCATGCATCTCTATGGGTTTCTGTGGATCTCAATGGATCTCAATGCGTCTCTATGGGGTCAGTATAGGTTCTCTATGGGGCGGCTATAGGGGCTGTTATGGGGTGGTTATGGGGTGGCTATGGGATCTCTATGGGATCCCTATGGGATCTCTATGGGTTCTCTATGGGGTCTCTATGGGGTCTCTATGGGGTCTCTATGGGGTCTCTATAGGGCTGGTGCTTCTATGGGTCTCCATGGATCTCTATGGGTTTCTATGGGTCTCAATGGATCTCAATGCATCTCTATGGGGTCTTTATGGGGTCAGTATGGGTTCTCTATGGGGCGGATATAGGGTGGCTACGGGATCTCTATGGGGTCTCTATGGGGTCTCTATGGGGTCTCTATGGGGCTGGCGCTTCTATGGGTCTCCATGCATCTCTATGAGTTTCTCTGGCTCTCAATGGAACTCAATGGATCTCTATGGGGTCAGTATAGGTTCTCTATGGGGCGGCTATAGGGGCGGTTATGGGGTGGTTATGGGGTGGCTATGGGATCTCTATGGGGTTGCTATGGGGCTGTCACTATGGGGTCTCTATGGGGTCTCTATGGGGCTGGTGCTTCTATGGGTCTCCATGGATCTCTATGGGTTTCTATGGGTCTCAATGGAACTCAATGCATCTCTATGGGGTCTTCATGGGGTCAGTATGGGTTCTCTATGGGGCAGCTATAGGGGCGGTTGCAGGGTGGTTATGGGGTGGCTATGGGATCTCTATGGGGATTCTATGGGGTCTCTATGGGGTCTCTATGGGGCTGGTGCTTCTATGGGTCTCCATGGATCTCTATGGGTTTCTATGGATCTCAATGGATCTCAATGGAACTCAATGCATCCCTATGGGGTTTTTATGGGGTCAGTGTAGGTTCTCTATGGGGCGGCTATGGGGCGGTTGCAGGGTGGTTATGGGGTGGCTATGGGATCTCTATGGGGATTCTATGGGGTCTCTGGGGTCTCTATGGGGCTGGTGCTTCTATGGGTCTCCATGGATCTCTATGGGTTTCTATGGATCTCAATGGATCTCAATGGAACTCAATGCATCCCTATGGGGTTTTTATGGGGTCAGTATGGGTTCTCTATGGGGCAGCTATGGGGCAGCTATGGGGCCGTTATGGGTTGGCTACGGGATCTCTATGGGGTCTCTATGGGGTCTCTATGGGATCTCTATGGGACCTCTATGGGATCTCTATGGGGTCTCTATGGGGTCTCTATGGGGCGGCTATGGGGTTACTATGGGATCTCTATGGGGATTCTATGGGGCCTCTATGGGGTCTCTATGGGATCTCTATGGGATCTCTATGGGGTCTCTATGGGGTCTCTATGGGGCTGGCGCTTCTATGGGTCTCCATGGATCTCTATGGGTTTCTATGGATCTCAATGGAACTCAATGGAACTCAATGGATCTCAATGGGGTCTTTATGGGGTCAGTGTAGGTTCTCTATGGGGCGGCTATGGGGCGGTTGCAGGGTGGTTATGGGGTGGCTATGGGATCTCTATGGGGATTCTATGGGGTCTCTATGGGGTCTCTATGGGGCTGGCGCTTCTATGGGTCTCCATGGATCTCTATGGGTTTCTATGGATCTCAATGGATCTCAATGGAACTCAATGCATCCCTATGGGGTTTTTATGGGGTCAGTGTAGGTTCTCTATGGGGCGGCTATGGGGCGGTTGCAGGGTGGTTATGGGGTGGCTATGGGATCTCTATGGGGATTCTATGGGGTCTCTATGGGGTCTCTATGGGGCTGGCGCTTCTATGGGTCTCCATGGATCTCTATGGGTTTCTATGGATCTCAATGGATCTCAATGGAACTCAATGCATCCCTATGGGGTTTTTATGGGGTCAGTGTAGGTTCTCTATGGGGCGGCTATGGGGCGGTTGCAGGGTGGTTATGGGGTGGCTATGGGATCTCTATGGGGATTCTATGGGGTCTCTATGGGGTCTCTATGGGGCTGGTGCTTCTATGGGTCTCCATGGATCTCTATGGGTTTCTATGGATCTCAATGGATCTCAATGGAACTCAATGCATCCCTATGGGGTTTTTATGGGGTCAGTGTAGGTTCTCTATGGGGCGGCTATGGGGCGGTTGCAGGGTGGTTATGGGGTGGCTATGGGATCTCTATGGGGATTCTATGGGGTCTCTATGGGGTCTCTATGGGGCTGGCGCTTCTATGGGTCTCCATGGATCTCTATGGGTTTCTATGGATCTCAATGGAACTCAATGGAACTCAATGCATCCCTATGGGGTTTTTATGGGGTCAGTGTAGGTTCTCTATGGGGCGGCTATGGGGCGGTTGCAGGGTGGTTATGGGGTGGCTATGGGATCTCTATGGGGATTCTATGGGGTCTCTATGGGGTCTCTATGGGGCTGGCGCTTCTATGGGTCTCCATGGATCTCTATGGGTTTCTATGGATCTCAATGGATCTCAATGGAACTCAATGCATCCCTATGGGGTTTTTATGGGGTCAGTGTAGGTTCTCTATGGGGCGGCTATGGGGCGGTTGCAGGGTGGTTATGGGGTGGCTATGGGATCTCTATGGGGATTCTATGGGGTCTCTATGGGGTCTCTATGGGGCTGGCGCTTCTATGGGTCTCCATGGATCTCTATGGGTTTCTATGGATCTCAATGGATCTCAATGGAACTCAATGCATCCCTATGGGGTTTTTATGGGGTCAGTATGGGTTCTCTATGGGGCAGCTATGGGGCAGCTATGGGGCCGTTATGGGTTGGCTACGGGATCTCTATGGGGTCTCTATGGGGTCTCTATGGGATCTCTATGGGACCTCTATGGGATCTCTATGGGGTCTCTATGGGGTCTCTATGGGGCGGCTATGGGGTTACTATGGGATCTCTATGGGGATTCTATGGGGCCTCTATGGGGTCTCTATGGGATCTCTATGGGATCTCTATGGGGTCTCTATGGGGTCTCTATGGGGCTGGCGCTTCTATGGGTCTCCATGGATCTCTATGGGTTTCTATGGATCTCAATGGATCTCAATGGAACTCAATGCATCCCTATGGGGTTTTTATGGGGTCAGTGTAGGTTCTCTATGGGGCGGCTATGGGGCGGTTGCAGGGTGGTTATGGGGTGGCTATGGGATCTCTATGGGGATTCTATGGGGTCTCTATGGGGTCTCTATGGGGCTGGCGCTTCTATGGGTCTCCATGGATCTCTATGGGTTTCTATGGATCTCAATGGATCTCAATGGAACTCAATGCATCCCTATGGGGTTTTTATGGGGTCAGTGTAGGTTCTCTATGGGGCGGCTATGGGGCGGTTGCAGGGTGGTTATGGGGTCTCTATGGGATCTCTATGGGGATTCTATGGGGTCTCTATGGGGTCTCTATGGGGCTGGCGCTTCTATGGGTCTCCATGGATCTCTATGGGTTTCTATGGATCTCAATGGAACTCAATGGAACTCAATGCATCCCTATGGGGTTTTTATGGGGTCAGTGTAGGTTCTCTATGGGGCGGCTATGGGGCGGTTGCAGGGTGGTTATGGGGTGGCTATGGGATCTCTATGGGGATTCTATGGGGTCTCTATGGGGTCTCTATGGGGCTGGCGCTTCTATGGGTCTCCATGGATCTCTATGGGTTTCTATGGATCTCAATGGATCTCAATGGAACTCAATGCATCCCTATGGGGTTTTTATGGGGTCAGTGTAGGTTCTCTATGGGGCGGCTATGGGGCCGTCCCTCACCTGTTGAGGGCGTTGCACATCTCGATGGTGACGAGGACAGACAGCGCCATGGTCATGGGCACGGAGGACTCGAAGATGTCGCAGTCGATGCCCTCGAATTCGGTCGAGTGGTGGCTGCACTGCATGAAGTGCGTCTGTGGGGTGCAGGGGGGTCGGTTGTGGGGTCAGTTGTAGGGTCTGGTGTGGGGTGGGTATGGGGTGGATATGGGGTGGGTATGGGGTCTGGTGTGGGGTGGGTGTGGGGTGGGTATGGGGTCTGCTGTGGGGTGGGTGTGGGGTCTGCAGTGGGGTGCGTATAGGGTTGGTGTGGGGTGGGTGTGGGGTGGATATGGGGTGGGTATGGGGTGGGTATGGGGTCTGCTGTGGGGTGGGTATGGGGTGGTTATGGGGTGGGTATGGGGTCAGCTGTGGGGTGGATATGGGGTGGGTATGGGGTGGGTATGGGGTCAGCTGTGGGGTGGGTATGGGGTGGGTATGGGGTCAGCTGTGGGGTGGGTATGGGGTGGGTATGGGGTGGGTATGGGGTGGGTATGGGGTCAGCTGTGGGGTGGATATGGGGTGGGTGTGGGGTGGGTATGGGGTCTGCTGTGTGGTGGATATGGGGTGGGTATGGGGTGGGTATGGGGTCAGCTGTGGGGTGGGTATGGGGTGGGTATGGGGTGGGTATGGGGTCAGCTGTGGGGTGGGTGTGGGGTGGGTATGGGGTGGGTATGGGGTGGGTGTGGGGTGGATATGGGGTGGGTATGGGGTGGGTATGGGGTCAGCTGTGGGGTGGATATGGGGTGGGTGTGGGGTGGGTATGGGGTCTGCTGTGTGGTGGATATGGGGTGGGTATGGGGTGGGTATGGGGTCTGCTGTGGGGTGGGTATGGGGTGGGTATGGGGTGGGTATGGGGTCTGCTGTGTGGTGGATATGGGGTGGGTATGGGGTGGGTATGGGGTCTGCTGTGTGGTGGATATGGGGTGGGTATGGGGTGGGTATGGGGTCAGCTGTGGGGTGGGTATGGGGTGGGTATGGGGTGGGTATGGGGTCTGCTGTGGGGTGGGTATGGGGTGGGTATGGGGTGGGTATGGGGTCAGCTGTGGGGTGGATATGGGGTGGGTGTGGGGTGGGTATGGGGTGGGTATGGGGTGGATATGGGGTGGGTATGGGGTGGGTATGGGGTCAGCTGTGGGGTGGATATGGGGTGGGTATGGGGTGGGTATGGGGTGGGTATGGGGTGGATATGGGGTGGGTATGGGGTGGGTATGGGGTCAGCTGTGGGGTGGATATGGGGTGGGTGTGGGGTGGGTATGGGGTGGGTATGGGTTGGTTATGGGGTGGGTATGGAGTCTGCTGTGGGGTGGAAATGGGGTGGGTATGGGGTGGGTATGGGGTGGGTATGGGGTCAGCTGTGGGGTGGATATGGGGTGGGTATGGGGTGGGTATGGGGTCTGCTGTGGGGTGGAAATGGGGTGGGTATGGGGTGCTATGGGGTGGATGTGGGGTCAGCTATGGGGTGGGTGTGGGGTGGGTATGGGGTGGGTGTGGGGTGGATATGGGGTGGGTATGGGGTGGCTATGGGGTCTGCAGTGGGGTGGGTGTGGGGTGGCTATGGGGTGGATGTGGGGTCAGCTATGCGGTGGGTGTGGGGTGGCTATGGGGTGGATGTGGGGTGAGTGTGGGGTGAGCTATGGGGTGGCTATGGGGTGGATGTGGGGTCAGCTATGGGGTCTGCTGTGGGGCAGCTATGGGGTGAGTGTGGGGTGGCTATGGGGTGGCTATGGGGTGGGTATGGGGTGAGCTATGGGGTGGCTATGGGGTGGGTATGGGGTGAGCTATGGGGTGGCTATGGGGTGGATGTGGGGTCAGCTATGGGGTGGGTGTGGGGTGGGTATGGGGTCGCCCCATCACACTGTGACCCCACTGCCCCCATGACCCCGTGACCCCGTGACCCCACAAATGACCCCACTGATGACCCCATGACCCCCGTTGACCCCGGGACCCTGTATGTCGTCACCCCATGACCCCAATGACCCTGTGACCCTGCTCAACCCCTGACCCCGTGACCCCATGACCCCACAGATGACCCCGTGACCCCGTGACCCCGTGACCCCGTGACCCCGCAGCTCACCAGTTGGTGGTAGGTCAGATTGGGGCCGTCCTCAGCATAAAGGAACCACCAGGCAGCGGCGCCCACCGTGGCCGCCCCCACGTAACCTATAGGGCAGAGCGGCTCAGCGACCCCATAGAGACCCATAGGGCACCCACTGACCCCATAGAGACCCATAGGGCCTCAGCGACCCCATAGGGCCTCAGTGACCCCATAGAGACCCATAGGGCCTCAGCGACCCCATAGGGCCTCAGGGACCCCATAGAGACCCATAGGGCACCCACTGACCCCATAGAGACCCATAGGGCCTCAGAGACCCCATAGGGCCTCAGGGACCCCATAGAGACCCATAGGGCCTCAGAGACCCCATAAGGCCTCAGTGACCCCACAGGGCCCCACAGGGCGCCCACTGACCCCATAGAGACCCATAGGGCCTCAGCGACCCCATAGAGACCCATAGGGCACCCACTGACCCCATAGAGACCCATAGGGCCTCAGCGACCCCATAGGGCCTCAGTGACCCCATAGAGACCCATAGGGCCTCAGCGACCCCATAGGGCCTCAGGGACCCCATAGAGACCCATAGGGCACCCACTGACCCCATAGAGACCCATAGGGCCTCAGAGACCCCATAGGGCCTCAGGGACCCCATAGAGACCCATAGGGCCTCAGAGACCCCATAAGGCCTCAGTGACCCCACAGGGCCCCACAGGGCGCCCACTGACCCCATAGAGACCCATAGGGCCTCAGCGACCCCATAGAGACCCATAGGGCACCCACTGACCCCATAGAGACCCATAGGGCACCCACTGACCCCATAGAGACCCATAGGGCCTCAGCGACCCCATAGGGCCTCAGTGACCCCATAGAGACCCATAGGGAACTCAGTGACCCCATAGGGCCTCAGTGACCCCATAGAGACCCATAGGGAACTCAGTGACCCCATAGAGCCTCAGCGACCCCATAGAGACCCATAGGGCCTCAGTGACCCCATAGAGACCCATAGGGAACTCAGTGACCCCATAGGGCCTCAGTGACCCCATAGAGACCCATAGGGGACTCAGTGACCCCATAGAGACCCATAGGGAACTCAGTGACCCCATAGAGCCTCAGTGACCCCATAGAGACCCCATAGGGCCTCAGTGACCCCATAGAGACCCATAGGGAACTCAGTGACCCCATAGGGCCTCAGTGACCCCATAGAGACCCATAGGGAACTCAGTGACCCCATAGAGCCTCAGCGACCCCATAGAGACCCATAGGGCCTCAGTGACCCCATAGAGACCCATAGGGCCTCAGCGACCCCATAGGGCCTCAGTGACCCCATAGAGACCCATAGGGAACTCAGTGACCCCATAGAGCCTCAGCGACCCCATAGAGACCCATAGGGCACCCACTGACCCCATAGAGACCCATAGGGCCTCAGAGACCCCATAGGGCCTCAGGGACCCCATAGAGACCCATAGGGCCTCAGAGACCCCATAAGGCCTCAGTGACCCCACAGGGCCCCACAGGGCGCCCACTGACCCCATAGAGACCCATAGGGCCTCAGCGACCCCATAGAGACCCATAGGGCACCCACTGACCCCATAGAGACCCATAGGGCCTCAGCGACCCCATAGGGCCTCAGTGACCCCATAGAGACCCATAGGGAACTCAGTGACCCCATAGAGCCTCAGCGACCCCATAGAGACCCATAGGGCCTCAGTGACCCCATAGAGACCCATAGGGAACTCAGTGACCCCATAGGGCCTCAGTGACCCCATAGAGACCCATAGGGAACTCAGTGACCCCATAGAGCCTCAGCGACCCCATAGAGACCCATAGGGCCTCAGTGACCCCATAGAGACCCATAGGGAACTCAGTGACCCCATAGAGCCTCAGCGACCCCATAGAGACCCATAGGGCCTCAGTGACCCCATAGAGACCCATAGGGAACTCAGTGACCCCATAGGGCCTCAGTGACCCCATAGAGACCCATAGGGGACTCAGTGACCCCATAAGGCCTCAGCGACCCCACAGGGCCCCACAGGGCGCCCACTAACCCCATAGAGACCCATAGGGCCTCAGCGACCCCATAGAGACCCATAGGGCCTCAGTGACCCCATAGGGCCTCAGAGACCCCACAGGGCCCCACAGGGCGCCCACTGACCCCATAGAGACCCATAGGGCCTCAGCTATCCCATAGGGCCTCAGTGACCCCATAGAGACCCATAGGGAACTCAGTGACCCCATAGAGCCTCAGCGACCCCATAGAGAACCATAGGGCCTCAGTGACCCCACAGGGCCCCACAGGGCACCCACTGACCCCATAGAGACCCATAGGGCCTCAGTGACCCCATAGGGCCTCAGGGACCCCATAGAGACCCATAGGGCCTCAGTGACCCCATAGGGCCTCAGGGACCCCATAGAGACCCATAGGGCCTCAGAGACCCCATAGAGACCCATAGGGCACCCACTGACCCCATAGGGCCTCAGCGACCCCATAGGGCCTCAGCGACCCCATAGAGACCCATAGGGCCTCAGAGACCCCATAAGGCCTCAGTGACCCCACAGGGCCCCACAGGGCGCCCACTGACCCCATAGAGACCCATAGGGCCTCAGAGACCCCATAGAGACCCATAGGGCACCCACTGACCCCATAGAGACCCATAGGGCCTCAGTGACCCCATAGGGCCTCAGAGACCCCATAGGGCCTCAGAGACCCCATAGGGCCCCACAGGGCGCCCACTGACCCCATAGAGACCCATAGGGCCTCAGCGACCCCATAGAGACCCATAGGGCACCCACTGACCCCATAGAGACCCATAGGGCCTCAGTGACCCCATAGAGCCTCAGGGACCCCATAGAGACCCATAGGGCCTCAGAGACCCCATAAGGCCTCAGTGACCCCACAGGGCCCCACAGGGCGCCCACTGACCCCATAGAGACCCATAGGGCCTCAGCGATCCCATAGGGCCTCAGTGACCCCATAGAGACCCATAGGGAACTCAGTGACCCTATAGGGCCACAGCGACCCCATAGAGACCCATAGGGAACTCAGTGACCCCATAGAGCCTCAGCGACCCCATAGGGCCTCAGCGACCCCACAGGGCCCCATAGGGCACCCACTGACCCCATAGAGACCCATAGGGAACTCAGTGACCCCATAGGGCCTCAGCGACCCCATAGGGCCTCAGTGACCCCACAGGGCCCCACAGGGCACCCACTGACCCCATAGAGACCCGTAGGGAACTCAGTGACCCCATAGGGCCTCAGCGACCCATAGGGCCCCATAAGGCACTCAGCGACCCCAAAGAGCCCCACAGACATCCCAAAGACCCCACAGCTGACCCAACGACCCCATGGACGACCCAACGACCCTATAGATGATCCAGTGACCCTATAGATGACCCGATGACCACATGGATGACCTGATGACCCCACAGCTGACCTGATGACCCCATGGACGACCCAATGACCCTATAGGTGACCCAATGACCCCACAGCTGACCTGATGACCCCATGGACGACCCAATGACCCTATAGGTGACCCAATGACCCCACAGCTGACCCGATGACCCCATGGATGACCCAGCAACCCTATGGATGACCCAATGACCCCATGGATGACCTGATGACCCCACAGCTGACCTGATGACCCCATGGAAGACCCAATGACCCCATGGATGACCCAACGACCCTATAGATGACCCAATGACCCCACACCTGACCCGACGACCCCATGGACGACCCAGCGACCCTATAGATGACCCAATGACCCCACAGCTGACCTGATGACCCTATGGATGACCCAGCAACCCTATAGATGACCCAATGACCCCATGGATGACCTGATGACCCCACAGCTGACCTGATGACCCCCAGGATGACCCAACGACCCTATAGATGACCCAATGACCCCACAGCTGACCCGATGACCCCATGGACGACCCAGCGACCCTATAGATGACCCAATGACCCCACAGCTGACCTGATGACCCTATGGATGACCCAACGACCCTATAGATGACCCAATGACCCCATGGATGACCTGATGACCCCACAGCTGACCTGATGACCCCCAGGATGACCCAACGACCCTATAGATGACCCAATGACCCCACAGCTGACCTGATGACCCCATGGACGACCCAGCGACCCTATGGATGACCCAATGACCCCATGGATGACCTGATGACCCCACAGCTGACCTGATGACCCCATGGACGGTCCAGCAACCCTATAGATGACCCAATGACCCCATGGATGACCTGATGACCCCACAGCTGACCTGATGACCCCCAGGATGACCCAACGACCCTATAGATGACCCAATGACCCCACAGCTGACCCGATGACCCCATGGACGACCCAGCGACCCTATAGATGACCCAATGACCCCACAGCTGACCTGATGATCCTATGGATGACCCAACGACCCTATAGATGACCCAATGACCCCATGGATGACCTGATGACCCCACAGCTGACCTGATGACCCCCAGGATGACCCAACGACCCTATAGATGACCCAATGACCCCACAGCTGACCTGATGACCCTATGGATGACCCAACGACCCTATAGATGACCCAATGACCCCATGGATGACCTGATGACCCCACAGCTGACCTGATGACCCCCAGGATGACCCAATGACCCTATAGATGACCCAATGACCCCACACCTGACCCGACGACCCCATGGACGACCCAGCGACCCTATAGATGACCCAATGACCCCACAGCTGACCTGATGACCCTATGGATGACCCAACGACCCTATAGATGACCCAATGACCCCATGGATGACCTGATGACCCCACAGCTGACCTGATGACCCCCAGGATGACCCAATGACCCTATAGATGACCCAATGACCCCACACCTGACCCGACGACCCCATGGACGACCCAGCGACCCTATAGATGACCCAATGACCCCACAGCTGACCTGATGACCCCCAGGATGACCCAACGACCCTATAGATGACCCAATGACCCCACAGCTGACCTGATGACCCCATGGACGACCCAGCGACCCTATGGATGACCCAATGACCCCATGGATGACCTGATGACCCCACATCTGACCCGATGACCTCAAGGCTGACCTTTTGCCCCCCTCCCCCCATCTCACCTCCGATGGCCAAATAGCGGAAGAAGAGCCAGCCGCTGATCAGGGGCTCTTTGGGGCTTCGGGGGGGTTTGTCCATAATGTCCAAATCGGGGGGGTTGAAACCCAAAGCCGTGGCTGGGAGTCCATCGGTCACCAGATTGACCCAGAGCAGCTGAACCGGGATCAGCGCCTCCGGCAGCCCCAGGGCGGCCGTCAGGAAGATGCTGGGGGGGTGGTCGGGGGGTGGGGGGGTGGGAAATGGGGGAGAAATGGGGGGGGGTTGGGGGGGTGAGGGGGTGGGAAAGAGGGGGGAAGGGGGAGGAAGGGGGAAAAAGGGGGGGAATGGGGGGGAGAGGGGGTTGGGAAAGAGGGGGGAAGGGGGGAGAGAGGGGAAATGGGGGGAGATGGGGGGAGATGGGGGTGGGAAATGGGGGGAAGGGGGAGGAAGGGGGTAAAAGGGGGGGAATGGGGGGAGATGGGGGGAGATGGGGAGAAATGGGGGGTTGGGGGTGGGAAATGGGGGGAAATGGGGGGTTGGGGGGGTGAAGGGGTGGGAAAGAGGGGGGAAGGGGGAGGAAGGGGGTAAAAGGGGGGGAATGGGGGAGATGGGGGGAGATGGGGGGAAATGGGGGTAGGAAAGAGGGGGGAGGGGGAGAAAGGGGGAATGGGGGGAGATGGGGGGAAATGGGGGGGAAATGGGGGGGTTGGGGGGTGAGGGGGTGGGAAAGAGGGGGGAAGGGGAGGAAGGGGGAAAAAGGGGGGGAATGGGGGAGATGGGGGGAGATGGGGGGAGATGGGGGGGTTGGGTGGGTGGGAAATAGGGGGAAATGGGGAGGAAGGGGGTAAAAGGGGGGGAATGGGGGAGATGGGGGGAGATGGGGGGAAATGGGGGTTGGAAATGGGGGGAAATGGGGAGGAAGGGGGAATGGGGGGAGATGGGGGGAGATGGGGGTGGGAAATGGGGGAAAGGGGGAGGAAGGGGGTAAAAGGGGGGGAATGGGGGGAGATGGGGAGAAATGGGGGGGTTGGGAGGGTGGGAAATGGGGGGAAATGGGGGGGTTGGGGGTGAGGGGGTGGGAAAGAGGGGGGAAGGGGGAGGAAGGGGGTAAAAGGGGGGGAATGGGGGAGATGGGGGGAGATGGGGGGAAATGGGGGTGGGAAAGAGGAGGGAGGGGGAGAAAGGGGGAATGGGGGGGAGATGGGGGGAGATGGGGGGAAATGGGGGGGTTGGGGGGTGAGGGGGTGGGAAAGAGGGGGGAAGGGGGAAAAAGGGGGGGAATGGGGGGAGATGGGGGGAGATGGGGGGAGATGGGGGGTGGGAAATGGGGGGAAGGGGGAGGAAGGGGGTAAAAGGGGGGGAATGGGGGAGATGGGGGGAGATGGGGGGAAATGGGGGTAGGAAAGAGGGGGGAGGGGGAGAAAGGGGGAATGGGGGGAGATGGGGGGAAATGGGGGGGTTGGGGGGTGGGAAATGGGGGGAAATGGGGGGGGGTTGGGGGGTGAGGGGGTGGGAAATGGGGGGAAATGGGGAGGAAGGGGGTAAAAGGGGGGAATGGGGGGGAGATGGGGGGAGATGGGGGGTAGGAAAGAGGAGGGAGGGGGAGAAAGAGGGTAAAAATGGGGTAATGGGGGGAACTGGGGGGGACTGGGGGCAAACTGGGAGGAACTGGGAGGAAGTAGATGGGAAATGGGAGGAAGTGGATGGGAAATGGGGGGAATGGAGGGGACTGGAGGGGAAATGGTGGGGAGTGGTGGGACTGGGTGGAACTGGGAGGGACTGGGAGGGACTGGGAGGAAGTAGATGGGAAATGGGGGGAAATGGGTGGGAAATGGGGGGGACTGGAGGGGACTGGAGGTGAAATAATGGGGAAATGGTGGCACTGGGCAGTACTGGGAGGGACTGGGAAGGACTGGGAGGGACTGGGAGGAACTGGGCATTACTGGGAGGAAGTAGATGGGAAATGGGGGGGAAGTAGATGGGAAATGGGAGGAAGTCGATGGGAAATGGGAGGAATGGAGGGGAGCGGAGGGGAAATGGTGGGACTGGGCGCTACTGGGAGGCACTGGGAGTTACTGGGAGGCACTGGGAAGGACTGGGAGGGACTGGGAGGGACTGGGCATTACTGGGAGGAAGTAGATGGGAAATGGGAGGAAGTGGATGGGAAATGGGAGGAAGTGGATGGGAAATGGGAGGAAGTAGATGGGAAATGGTGAGTAATGGAGGGGAGTGGAGGGGAAATGGTGGGGAATGGTGGGACTGGGAGGAACTGGGAGGGACTGGGAGGGACTGGGAGGGACTGGAAGGAAGTAGATGGGAAATGGGAGGAAGTGGATGGAAATGGGAGGAATGGAGGGGAGCGGAGGGGAAATGGTGGGACTGGGCGCTACTGGGAGGCACTGGGCGCTACTGGGAGGCACTGGGAGGAACTGGGAGGAAGTAGATGGGAAATGGGGGAAAGTCGATGGGAAATGGGGGGAAGTGGATGGGAAATGGGAGGAATGGAGGGGAATGGAGGGGAAATGGTGAGGAATGGTGGGACTGGGTGGAACTGGGAGTTACTGGGAGGGACTGGGAAGGACTGGGAGGGACTGGGTGGGACTGGGAGGAAGTAGATGGGAAATGGGAGGAAGTGGATGGGAAATGGTGAGGAATGGAGGGGAGCGGAGGGGAAATGGTGGGGAAACGGTGGGACTGGGAGGAACTGGGAGGGACTGGGAGGAACTGGGAGGGACTGGGCATTACTGGGAGGAAGTAGATGGGAAATGGGGGGGAAGTAGATGGGAAATGGGAGGAAGTTGATGGGAAATGGGAGGAAGTAGATGGGAAATGGTGAGGAATGAAGGGGAGTGGAGGGGAAATGGTGGGGAATGGTGGGACTGGGAGGAACTGGGAGGGACTGGGAGGGACTGGGAGGAAGTAGATGAAAAATGGGGGGAAGTGGATGGGAAATGGGGGGGACTGGAGGGGACTGGAGGTGAAATAATGGGGAAATGGTGGCACTGGGCAGTACTGGGAGGGACTGGGAAGGACTGGGAGGGACTGGGAGGAACTGGGCATTACTGGGAGGAAGTAGATGGGAAATGGGGGGGAAGTAGATGGGAAATGGGAGGAAGTCGATGGGAAATGGGAGGAATGGAGGGGAGCGGAGGGGAAATGGTGGGACTGGGCGCTACTGGGAGGCACTGGGAGTTACTGGGAGGCACTGGGAAGGACTGGGAGGGACTGGGAGGGACTGGGCATTACTGGGAGGAAGTAGATGGGAAATGGGGGGGAAGTAGATGGGAAATGGGAGGAAGTCGATGGGAAATGGGAGGAATGGAGGGGAGCGGAGGGGAAATGGTGGGACTGGGCGCTACTGGGAGGCACTGGGAGTTACTGGGAGGCACTGGGAAGGACTGGGAGGGACTGGGAGGGACTGGGCATTACTGGGAGGAAGTAGATGGGAAATGGGAGGAAGTGGATGGGAAATGGGAGGAAGTGGATGGGAAATGGGAGGAAGTGGATGGGAAATGGTGAGGAATGGAGGGGAGCGGAGGGGAAATGGTGGGACTGGGCGCTACTGGGAGGCACTGGGAGTTACTGGGAGGCACTGGGAAGGACTGGGAGGGACTGGGAGGGACTGGGCATTACTGGAGGAAGTAGATGGGAAATGGGGGGAAGTAGATGGGAAATGGGGGGAAGTAGATGGGAAATGGGAGGAATGGAGGGGAGCGGAGGGGAAATGGTGGGACTGGGCGCTACTGGGAGGGACTGGGCGCTACTGGGAGGCACTGGGAGGAACTGGGAGGAAGTAGATGGGAAATGGGGAAAGTCGATGGGAAATGGGAGGAAGTGGATGGGAAATGGGAGGAATGGAGGGGAATGGAGGGGAAATGGTGAGGAATGGTGGGACTGGGTGGAACTGGGAGTTACTGGGAGGGACTGGGAAGGACTGGGAGGGACTGGGTGGTACTGGGAGGAAGTAGATGGGAAATGGGAGGAAGTGGATGGGAAATGGTGAGGAATGGAGGGGAGCGGAGGGGAAATGGTGGGACTGGGTGCTACTGGGAGGCACTGGGTGCTACTGGGAGGCACTGGGAGGGACTGGGAGGAACTGGGAGGGACTGGGAGGGACTGGGAGGAAGTAGATGGGAAATGGGGGGAAGTCGATGGGAAATGGGAGGAAGTGGATGGGAAATGGTGAAGAATGGAGGGGAGTGGAGGGGAAATGGTGAGGAATGGTGGGACTGGGAGGAAGTGGGAGGGACTGGGCATTACTGGGAGGAAGTAGATGGGAAATGGGGGGAAGTGGATGGGAAATGGGGGGACTGGAGGGGACTGGAGGTGAAATAATGGGGAAATGGTGGCACTGGGCAGTACTGGGAGGGACTGGGAAGGACTGGGAGGGACTGGGAGGAACTGGGCATTACTGGGAGGAAGTAGATGGGAAATGGGGGGGAAGTAGATGGGAAATGGGAGGAAGTGGATGGGAAATGGTGAGGAATGGAGGGGAGCGGAGGGGAAATGGTGGGAGTGGGCGCTACTGGGAGGGACTGGGAAGGACTGGGAGGGACTGGGAGGGACTGGGAGGAACTGGGAGGGACTGGGAGGGACTGGGCATTACTGGGAGGAAGTAGATGGGAAATGGGGGGAAGTAGATGGGAAATGGGGGGAAGTAGATGGGAAATGGGAGGAATGGAGGGGAGCGGAGGGGAAATGGTGGGGACTGGGCGCTACTGGGAGGGACTGGGCGCTACTGGGAGGCACTGGGAGGAACTGGGAGGAAGTAGATGGGAAATGGGGGAAAGTCGATGGGAAATGGGAGGAAGTGGATGGGAAATGGGAGGAATGGAGGGGAATGGAGGGGAAATGGTGAGGAATGGTGGGACTGGGTGGAACTGGGAGTTACTGGGAGGGACTGGGAAGGACTGGGAGGGACTGGGGTGGTACTGGGAGGAAGTAGATGGGAAATGGGAGGAAGTGGATGGGAAATGGTGAGGAATGGAGGGGAGCGGAGGGGAAATGGTGGGACTGGGTGCTACTGGGAGGCACTGGGTGCTACTGGGAGGCACTGGGAGGGACTGGAGGAACTGGGAGGGACTGGGAGGGACTGGGAGGAAGTAGATGGGAAATGGGGGGAAGTCGATGGGAAATGGGAGGAAGTGGATGGGAAATGGTGAAGAATGGAGGGGAGTGGAGGGGAAATGGTGAGGAATGGTGGGACTGGGAGGAAGTGGGAGGGAC